AACACTATCTGCGAAACAACAGATATGAATTGCCTATGGCGGAGCGTAAAAAGCAATGAAAGCATTTTCTCATGAACAGTTTTCATTTCGCATTCCTTCCCCTTTGTCCCCTAAGGAATTCTAAATAGTATCTGTAGTTTGCAAGACCCTAATAATGCCGCAGGGGCAGTCCACCCCTGCACTTTCCCCTTCAATCAAAATTGTTTTTTTAACCAGACGTCTGTAGATATAATGTGGAAATTTAAACTGTAATAGAATATGCTAAAATATTTTCAACTAAAAACACTTTGAAGTAAGTACCTATTTACAAAGGGGATATTTTCAATATACGTACCAATATATCATTGTGATGAGTAAGGGGGACGATAATTAATTGAATATAATTAATATTATGAAACATGAGTAACCTACAATTTACAAAAATAACACATAATACAGGTAGGTATATGTACGAATTAATAATTACTGCCGTAAGTTTTCACCCGCAAAACTTCAACAGCTGCAAACTGGAGTATTTACGTATAAAGTAACCTATTCATTTAAACAAAAGTTAACTATGTTTTAATAAGGCTTTTCACATATAATAAGTATAACAAGGTCCATAAAAATATACCTAATACTTCATCTGATCTTATGTGAAGAGCGATTCTTTAATCACTTTATATAATAACTAGCATTGCCCGCGGCTCCGCCCGCGTTCAGATGGCAAAAAACCAAATTCTTAGGTTTTACATATTAGTATACTCTTACAATGCAGTTTTTATATTTTTTCTCAGAAATGAGATATTTCCCGCGGTAAAAAGTACCCTATATGTTGACCCGGATAACCAGCTATCCCCCCCCAACGTGCGTTCACCTTGTCGTGGTGGGGGGGCTCAGTAGTGCCCGGCAACCCAACCGGGCGCGAAGCTAAGAAACGCACAGGGAGGTTGCCCACTTCGGTGGGCGGTGGGAGGTGGCCCTCTTCGGAGGGCGGTGTACCATGCGGGTTGCTCCTGGTACTTCTCTGATAGCAGAGTGGACCTTGGAACAACCCCAAGGTTGTGGTGGTCTGCTTCGGCAGACCTGCCGTCGGGGCGTCGTAGTTGAATGCGTAAGCGATCCTGCGACGCCCCATTAAGACGGGGAAAGGTTTTGTTGGGTTTTAGTGGGTAGTACTGGCTGTATTACGCCGGTGAGTCCCACACGTCGTGCGTAAATGCATTTCCCAACGTTAAAAAAAAAAAAAAGGATAACCAGCTATAACCATCAAAATCCCCCCAGTGGTTTTTTTGTGATGCGGTAACAGACAGACAGACAGACAAAAATTCTAAAAACTATAGATTCGGCCTCTGTATCGATAATAATGTCTATTTCAATAAGATTTTCCAAAAAATATTTAATGTAAAGATACGGCTTAGTTAGAATTTTATTATATATGTAGATATTAATAAAAACCACTATATTAATATATTTAAATTTTTGCGTCTGTTTAGACGCAAAACTTTAAACTTTTTTTATTTCAACCGGAGCTGAAACACTAAAGCTAACATTATGTAAAGTCCATATTTAGCTAGAGTACGGAGTACCTATATGATAATGATGTCTAAAGTAATTTTTATTATATGTTATGTATGTATTTAATAATAAGTAAACTAAAGTCAATGAGCCAATCAACCCAATGAGCGATTCAATATGAAATTTGGACCTATTTATATACAGACCTAACGAACCTTTCTTTCCTCGTAATCCGAACTATTGCAGGACACTACACCGCATATAACTATTAATAATAAAATAACTAACTATTCCACTATATACGTAAAAAGGCCCAATTTGTGTTCTCTCATTATTAAACCAAAGTTCATGATGTGACCCACAATGCGCCGTGGCTGTGGAGGACATTAAAACACATGCGAGAGCAACTTGTATCATAATAATAATAAATATTATGAAACATAAGTACGAACGACCATAAACATAATTTTATAACTGCAATTAGTCTAATACCATTGTCTATAGTCTACACTGATACTGATAATAATTAAACTTATCTTGTTGAGATAATATTTCGCGTATCGTTGTAAGTACATTGTACATACATACATACGAGTATATTGGTATCATCATTCAAAGAGGTTAGTTGTTTCAAAATATTGAAATATGTAATTTGTTTATTTTAATTACAAGTAGATTTATGTGTGTACTAATTGTGCTATGTAACGGGATACATATCAAGTTGTCATATTATTATTAATTAACGACGTTATATAACTAGCATTGCCCGCGGCTCCGCCTGCGTTCAGATGACCAAAAAAATCAAATTTTTTGGTTTTACATATTAGTACAATCTTACATTGCAGTTTTTGTATTTTCTCTCAGAAATGAGATATTTTCCCGCGCTAAAAAGTATCCTATATGTTGACTCGGATAACCAGCTACTCAGCTGTGGTGTTTCTGTGATGCGGTAACAGACAAAGACAGACAAAAAATCTAAAAACTATAGATTCGGCCTCTGTATCGACAATAATGTTTGTTTGAATAAGATTTTCCAAAAAATATTTAATGTACAGATTGGGCTTAGTTACAATTTTATTATAATATATATATATATATATATATATATATATATATATATATATATATATATATATATAGATATTTCAGAAATAAAGAAAATAATATATAAAAATTCAAAATACAAATGGAAATAATTTCGCGGGGATAGAGAAGGTTGAGAGCTAGTTTTAAATGTCAAAATTACTTGCATATTGATTGATTGCTAGTTAATTGTGAAACAAATTTAGATTTCTTTAAGCAGAAACACATAATGCTTAACACTTGCAACCAAAAACTGGCGACACGTTTGGCACAGTTTGTATTGACCTACCTACCTCCTTGCTCTGCCAACGGTCGCGGGTTCAGGTCCCGCTGGGGGGCATTCATTAGTGTGATGAGCACGAATATTTGTACTCCAGTCATGGGTGTTTATATTTATAATAATATGTATGTATTCAAAGTTATAATGTATGTGCAGTGTATCAATATGTGTATCTGGTATCCATAACACAAGTCTCGTAGCATACCATGGATCGAATTGGTGCTGTGTGTATAAAAAATAACTTACCTATATAAAATGAAGCAAAGTGAATAGGAACTTAGATTTTTCGTAAAATATTAGACACTTTCTTCTTACTTCTTACGAAATTCAGAGATCAGCAATTTCGGAGATAAGATGGTTACAATAGACATTTTATAGCCCAATTTTTAATATAATAAAGTAATTTAAACAAGGACTTTAATTTGATAGTATAAAATTTATGTATGTATTTACTCTAGGTATACCTACGTCCTAACTATATTTGTGTCATTCAACTTTTTCAGTCCAGTAGATTCAGAGAAAAAAGTGACTGTCAGACGGACAAACAGGAGTGATTCTATAATCGTCTCGTTTTTATTATCTTTGGAGTTATGTTTGAATTGTACGTGTTGTGCTTATTTATACATATATGCGTGTATGTTTGTATGTAGGTTAATAAGCATGTACATTGTGCACATAACGTTTATATGTATTAGTGGCGAAGGGCCTAAATAAATAAACTCAACGCAAAATTGTTTTTTAATTTTTAATTCTATAAAAATGCAGAAAAAAAGTTTCTGAGGTAACCCGGTTACAGCGGTTACCTCTGAGCAATAATTGTTTTTTTTTTAAATGAAACTATTACTTTTAATTGAGTTTTACTTTATTTTAGCCTAGTTAAGATATAATGTACTGTATTCGTATACTGTGAAGTACCTATAAGTTTTTAAGCGAAGAAAAAAAGAAGTTTCTCAACTCGATACGTATTTTTTTTTTATTAATTTACTGTAACTTGTTACAGTGTAGTCCGATTTAGATGATTCTTTATTTTTTGGATAGGATATACCACAAAATTGTTCCCATTTAAATTTAAAAAAAAATTCTGCCCTAAGTAGGATGTACTAAAAAGGGATGATTAATTTTTCACCAACTGATTTTTTAAAATACTTTCTTCTTACTTTGCTACTACTACAAAGGCATACTTTTTTTATCGTTGGGAAATGCATTTACGCACGAGGTGTGAGACTCACCGGCAAAGCCAGTACTACCCACTAAAACCCAACAAAACCTTCCCCCGTCTTAATGGGGTGTCGCAGGATCGCTTACGCATTCAACTACGACGCCCCGACGGCAGGTCTGCCGAAGCAGACCACAACAACCATGGGGTTGCTCCAAGGTCCACTCTGCTATCACAGAAGTACCAGGAGCAGCCCGCATGGTACACCGCCCCCCGAAGAGGGCCACGTGCGTTTCTTGGCTTCGCGTCCGGCTGGATTGCCGGGCACTACTGAGCCCCCACCACGACAAGGTGAACGCACGTTGGGGGGGACTACTACATACGAAACTTAAAAAAATAATAATAAAAAACCCAACTTAAAAAAACACTAAAAAGTAAAAAGTAAAAAATAACTGATTTGAAGTTTTTATTTACTATAGATACATAATCAGATATTTTCGAAATCGGTGTGCTTTGATTTACATCTGCAGTCTCCGTCGCATAATACTGTTTTTCGTCAATTTGCTTATCTTTTTATTTCGCATTTGACTCAGTCGGATAAAACCCATGTATATTATTTTTTATTATGGAGCATTCGTTAAAATTTCACTCTTCGCCACTGATATGTATAACCTAAATCAAACTATGAAATATTATTTTTTAAGATACAAGACATACAAGATAAACATACTAGATTAAAAATTATTTAAAAATGAGGAATGACGAACTATTCAAACCTCAGCGGGGCGAAGACAGGTCACAAGTGTACGTAACAATTTTATACAGTTAATTAAGTACGTTACGTAGACTGGCACACGTACACTCCTCCGCTAATATAAGTCATTACTAACACATCTTTTCAAGGTTATCAACGTTTGGCAGATTACCAGTTTGAGAATGAATCATTGTAAATATGGAATAATCGTAAATAATTAATCTTCACAGAATCCGGCTGAGATGGTTGTGGTGGAAATAGAGCAAGGAGCACTGAGAGGAGTCGTATGTAATAATAACGACGTGACATACTTAGCGTTTAAAGGAATTCCATATGCAAAGCCACCGTTGGGCGCATTGAGATTCAAGGTGAGTTTCGAATCTTACACATAACTCTACTACATAGGTACAAGCAGGTATATTAAATTACATAACTACGAGTAGTTATAAAATGTACTTGTGGTTTGTTTATTTTCCGCATTCATTCAGTAGATAGTATGCCTACAACATTATGAAATGATTTTTTATTGAAATGAAACTTTATTTAAATAGACTTGTTATAAGCACTTTTGATTCTTCCAATTGAATTTAAAGAGCGTCAGAGTAGTCAGTCCTTGAAGAAGCTACTATAACCGGCTCGGAAAGCAGTTCTGCTGAGAAGATCAGGCGAGAAACTCAACAGTTACTCTTTTAAATATCGAAGTTAAATTATTAAAAACACAATATTACAGCCTAAGAGTCAATATGTCTTAATTCCACAATTTCCATCAACAAGAAACTTTTGAACAGAGTAATATGCTTTGCACAAAAAAATATTTTTAATTTATCCTTAAATTTCTTATTTTTTTTTAAATTAATTTAAAGACTTATCATTATTGACGTTTAGATTATATTTTGCAGGCTCCCGAACCTCCAGAATCATGGCAAGGAACTCGCGACGCTTCACAACATGGGCCTGTGTGTCCGCAATACAACGAACGTTTACAACAGTACGAAATAGGCAGTGAAGATTGTCTTTACCTTAATGTCTATTCTAAAACGATCATCCCTAGTGGTTTATTACCAGTAATGGTATGGATACATGGCGGCTCTTTTTATACAGGCTCCGGTAACTCAGATTATTACGGACCAGATTTTTTTATGCGGCATGATATGGTTCTTGTAACAATAAATTATAGATTAGAGGTTCTTGGCTTTCTCTGCCTCGATATTGAAGAGGTTCCCGGTAATGCTGGCTTAAAAGATCAAGCAGCAGCGTTGGCATGGGTAAAAAAAAATATTTTTGCATTCGGTGGAGATCCTAATAATATAACGATTTTTGGTTGCAGCGCTGGCTCAGCGTCCACGTCGTACCATTTACTTTCTAAAATGAGCGAAGGTTTATTTAACAAAGCCATATGTCAAAGTGGAGTTTGTTTAAACGAATGGGCTTACGGTATTAATGCTCGTACGCGTGCATTTCAACTAGGAAAGTTACTGGGAATGGAAACGCAAGATTCTAAACAATTATTAGAATTTTTGAGGGACGTTTCCGTCTCATCCTTAGTACATGTTAATTTACCATCAATCGAATCGAAAGATAAAGACATTACAGACAGTATATTTTTTTCACCTGTTATTGAAAATTCCGCACTTAGCGGAAAACATTTTATTACAGAGTCTCCGCTCACACTGATAAAGAAAGGAGTTCTATCAAAAGTACCAATAATTGTGGGATATACTTCTGGGGAAGGTATAGAATTAGGTAGGCTATTTCCTAATACACTAACATTTCTGTTAAATGTTGGCGCTGTTGTACCCAGAGAGTTAAAGTTTAAATTGAAAAATGAACAGACGCTAGAAGTCGATCGTAAAATAAGAAAGTTCTATTTTAAAGATCAAGAATTAAACAAAACTATGCTACAAGAAGTTGTGGATTTTGAAACAGATAGATTATTCGCATATAATATCTACAGATTCGCACGCTACCACAAACATGTCACAGCCATGCCGGTTTATTTCTACAAATTTTCAATTGAAACAGAGAGAAATTACACAAAGAAATTTTATAAAATGGACGACGTGCCTGGGGTCTGTCACGCAGATGATTTGCCATATCTTTTCAATATAAGCTGCCTAGACATTCCATTAACAGAGGAATCGGAAAACGTTATTAGGCAAATTGTTCAATTATGGTTCAATTTTGCTTCTACGGGGTAATTATATTGCATTCTAAAAATTCTAAACTCAACAAATTACAAATAGGTTATGACTTACCTAACTTTTACCTACAGTTTGTTAGAGTCGCAATAATTTTGTTTTACAACTTGAAAATTGGCCCGTATGGCCGTACCTACGTATGTAGGTACTATAATCTGCAAAGTTTTTATTGCATTATATTTTTATCTATACCTATAGAATACTAATAAATAAAATTGCAGTGTCTGCTTGTAATGTCAAAATAACAGTTTTTTAGTAATAACATATGAAAATATGTACTATACACACTTAGAAGAAAAAACATTTTGTTTTAATTTTGTCTGTCTGTTTCTTCGGAATAATCTCCGAAACTGCTGGACCGATTTTGACGGGACTTTCACCGGCAGATAGCTGATGTTATAAGCAATAACTAAGGCTATTTTATATTAGATAAAAACTTTTTAACAAAAAAAAACTGCTAATATAATTTAATAATAATATTAATATAGTTTAAACTAATATAATTTAAAAAAAATCGATGCCAGCCGATACAAAGCAAAGCACACTGACTTCGAAAACATTTGATTAGGTATGTATAGTAAATGAAAACTACCAATCAGTTATTTTTTGCTTTTTAGTGCTTTTGTTTGAAGTCAGTTTTTATTTTTTTGTTAAAACGTTTATATTTTTCCCTTTTTAGTGTAGTCAGTAGTAGCAAAGTAAGAATTCTAACGTATTAGGCTTGTCAAATCAAACAAAATAAGCCCAAACTCAAAGAATCTACTATTAGCCGTTGAAGAGTTCCACCTATTCACCTTCTGGCCTTACCATCAGATCAGGTCAACAATACCGAACCACTGTACTATCAACGGAAATAGAAACACTTGCAAAGTTTCAAGTCAATATGACAATTAGAAGTAGGTTAAATTCATCATTAGCTGTTTTTCCACCCTTAGGGGTGGTTTTTTTTTTTGAAATTTAAATGGGACCAATCTGGAAGTATACCTTTTCAAACAAAACAAAAATTGTCCAAATCGGTTAATAAATGACAGTTCTGAGGTAACAAACATAAAAAAAAAGAAAATACAGCCGAATTGAGAACCTCCTCCTTTTTGAGGAAGTCGGTTGAAAAATAATAAGGGTCCCGCGCAAAAAAATTAAAAACCATGAAATTGTGTACAAAATCCGCTTAGCTACCTAGAGACGGACCCGAGCGAAGCGAGGGTAAGTCGCTAGTATGATTAAAAATATGTATTAAGCCTAGTAATATTTTTACACTGATACACTCAGTTGTGTTGTAGCAGCCAATGTTACAGGCGCATTTATTATTAAATTATTTTACATTAAAAATATTTTCGCGAGCTTTTTGCCGACAAAGAAAAAATAATAAATAAAAAGAGATAGAAAAATTGTGGGGATATAAAAAATTCAAGTCTGACTGACTCACACTTAACCATTTTTTTAAACATTACGAACTCTCACATAATTAGTTACGTACCTATCGTTTTTTGCTACAATTTCAAGATTTAATGATAAGAGACCATGCAATTATAATTTTATTTCATTAATTAATCAAAATATAAAACCAATTAGATAAACGTCTAACGTAAACGTAACGTCTATGTCGAAGGTAAAAATCTTTTACATTATACATACTAAATAAAATTTTCAGAAATCCTTCCTCATCAGGAATATCAACCGAATGGAAACAATTTACGGAAAAGGAGCGATATTACATGTTAATAGACAAAGATTTAAAATGTATTCAAAATATCGATGAAATTAAAATGAAATTTTGGGAAGATATTTACGGTGAAAGGACATTGGACGTTAGAAAATAAATAATTTTATGAAGCAGCCGCCACCAGCTATTTTTTTTATGAAAATGAAACCTCTGTTATTAGGAATGAATTCTTATTATTAACAAAATACATCGTAACATTTCTTTAAAATGGGATACAGAAAACACTGCAATAACTAAACTTTACATATGGAATATGTCACTGATTGAATATAACATTGTCACGACGGAAAGAGAGGCGCGGAGTGGGAAATACACAGTTCTTAGCATGTGTACGCTTCATCCTTTATAGGTTTTAGCTACATCGCCCCATGAAAATCGTCAGATTATATTTTTCGTAATCCTAATAGAATTTCCTTCGAAGTTCGAAATGAAAAAAAAATCAATCGCGTTCGAGTATTTCGATGTGACGTTTTTTTACAACTTTGTGACTCGCCCATTTCTTTATGCCACGCTCAAATTGTCAGAATATTGAAATATACACTTTTCTGCGTGTACTTAACAAACCTAGTCTTAATCTGACATCGGATCGATTTTTTAAACTGACGAGCTGCCCTACACGCAAACCAACCCCCCCCCTTCCCTCCCCCCACACTACTACTACATAGTATAAAATGAAGTCGCTTCCGCTGTCTGTTCGCTTAGATCTTTTAAACTACTCAACGGATTTTAATGCAGTTTTCAGCAATAGATAGTGATTTAAGAGGAAGGTTATATGAATATTACATGTATATTATAGTACAGAAAAGCCGAGAAATTCAAAGATTTGTATTTCATACTAACAGTTAAAACGCACGTAGGGATGGACCCGAGCGAAGCGAGGGTGAGTCGCTAGTTAATATTAAATTTAATAACCAAATTGATCTAGCTATCAAACCTATCATACAATGATACATTCTATAAAAAGCTATATACCACGCTTGAATTCACCGCGAGAGAGCGCTAGTGTAGAGTGAAAGTCTCTAGAAATGTCAAATGACACTGAACGTGCACTGTTCGCGAGCTTTTCATCGCGTATTTTCACTAATCATTTATGATTATTGTAAAGATTGTGCCATTCCCGATTAATTATGGCAGACACGAAACGGCTCAATAAATCTTATTCCTTTAAAAGAAGAGTTAAGAAAAACACTACTTTTCATTTATTGGGGTATGATTAAATAATTATTTGAAATCCTGATAGAACTGTTTTCGCGCTAACGATTATTATAATAAATTTATTAGCCTGCCCCACTGCAAATACTGTTTTAACGACAGCGATAGCGCCTTACTCGCCAGAGGCTCCAACTGGTGCCGCCAGAAACGATAACCCTCATTATCTTGTCTATGAATGAGACAGCTTAAATAGACTAACAAAAGTGAAAATTCCAAATACTTTTTATAAGCTTTGTACTATCCCGTGAAAATTTAAAAGCGAGGTTTTATAAATAATAAAATCATGTTCCACGTGCACAGATACACTTAGAAAGTTGCGGAAATGCTAACCGAACCTACAACACCTCACCTCATCTATATTTTTTTTGCCTTTAGTATAGATTTCTCAGATCGCGACGACTGTAGGTACCTACCTACTATTACATTTGAATTGGCACCGACTTTAAACCTGTCAATAGGTAGCACATACAAATAATAGTATTTTATTAATATTAAAGGTATTATATTATATAAATAGGCTTGTATAAGAGGTGTATTAAATTAAATCTTTATTAAGTTATTTTATACTTTTAAGTTTCTGAAGTTTTGAAGTTTCAAAATAAACGTAGATAGTTTTTCTTATTTTTTACTTTTTAGTGTCTGTAATAGGTTGTTCTGTAAACTGCAGTAAGTAATAATGTAACAATTGGTTATAATATTTCTCAGTTTCTCTACTCCGCACGCTCGCTCCGCTTCAATGACAGGTAGCCTAATACCCACTTATTGGGACACGAGTTAATAATAATGTATAATAAACGTAAATGAAAACTAAAAAAGCCGTACACAAACTAAAATAAAATTACATCGTCCACGTAAATAAAAATGTTCATAAAATAAATTCATAAAATGAAAACTACTGGGCCAAACTATGTTAAATTTTTATGAAACCAAATGGCAACTATTCCGCATCAAACTAAAGAAGAATCACATAAATCGGATCATAAACCTCAGAGTATCAGTGTACATACATAAAAAAATACCAATCGAATTGAGATCCTTCTCCTTTTTGAAGTCAGTTAAAAAGAAAACCAATGCTACTATTCCCCAACATCATGGCACATTTAATTAATGATTATTATCCTATACCTTTAAACTAGTAATTCTTGTATATATATATAATCTGAATCTCGGAAACGGCTCCAACGATTTTCATGAAATTTAGTATGCAGGGGGTTTCGGGGGCGATAAATCGATCTAGATTAGTTTTTTGTCTGGGAAAACGAGTGTTTTCGATTTTTCATGCGGTTTTGTTTCGCATTATTCCACGCAAAATATGGTCGCTAATTTGCACGCTAGGACATAAGCATCGTGGTCAAGCGGCCAAGGCCCAAGTTAGACAACCACAGGTATCTGGGTTCGTATCCTGGTCGGATACAAAGTTTTTACTTGTTTTTTTTTTGTATTTATTAAAATTTTTAGTTTGTTTTTTTTTTAATTTTTTGTGGCCAAAAACTCCAAGCGATGGTCGGTCGCCCAGGTACTTGTTATTGTTTTAACTTCTCATAATTTAAAATACTAGATGGCAAAAATATTTACATGATTTCATTTAATAACTATATAGAACGTACATTTTGTTAGTCAAGATATTGATGAAATTTTACATACCTATATATTATATGCATAATTTAAATATAGTTTTTCTAGTATTTTAATAAGTAGTTTTTTTTTATCAGTAGACTGAATGTACAATGTAGATTGTAGACAATAAGTAATTGGTGTGGTATGCACATTAAAGACAAAATTAAAGAAAATCTTTTATTTTCCGGTTGCGTTCTTACATAAAACTAATCAATGAATTAATTTGTTTAAAGTAGTGCATAATAATTACACTCTACTACTCAATATATAGTCGAGAAGTAATTGCACCTCCTTAAACAAGTTGATTTCTACAATCCATATCGTAAGTAGATAACCTAAAAATGTAGACATCATGACATATGAAATAGAAATGTTTTTTATAATATACTTTCTAATAGCGATAGCGATTGTAGAGTATGAGCGAGCTAATAGCGTCCGGAGCGCGAGTTGCGCGGCGGCTCGCGACGGCGCTCGCGCGAGCGGGAGCGGCGGCGGCGCTCACGGGAGCGACTGCGTGAGCGTCGCCCGCCCTTACGTCGCGCGTACAGGTATCTGCAAATATACACACAAATCTATAAACATACTAGCGACTCACCCTCGTTTACTTAGCTCGGGTTTGTCTTTATGTTGATTCCCCATACAAACTTTCATTCCCATTTTCACCCCCTTAGGGGATGACTATCCAGATGAAAAGTATCCTATGTCCTTTCCAGGGTCTCAAACTATCTTCTTACCAAATTTCATCTAAATCGGTTCAGTAGATCCAGAGATTACCCTCTACAACGTCACAAACTCACAAACTTTAACTCTTTATAATATTAGTATACATATGTAATATGTATCAAAATCGGTCCAGTCGTTTGAGAGAAGTTCAGTGACATACACACTCACAGAAGAATTATATATATAAAGATTAATTGTGCTGTGGTTTGTTGTTCATGGTTTAATAAGGATTTATTTACTCCCTTTTTTACAGATTATAATTTAATAAAAGTTATTGATCTTAATTTTATGACCAATCTCCTTCATGTCTTCTCCATTCTATGTGACATTGGTGAACTAATAGTAGTCACTACATCCCCGAGTACCTAACCTAACAGTAGCTTACTGCAGGTCATAGTCTACTTGTGTAGTAAACATCCAAATTTGTCCAGCCGTTTCAATGTAAACATTACAAACACACCCACACATACAACTTATTAATTTTTCATGTCAAACTGGTGCAATAATTTATAAGTACACTATGTATAGCTTACTTTAGTTAAAAGAAAATATATTCAAAATATCACTTTTTAAAATAACCACTATCAAAACAGGGTAAAAGATAGTCATACAATTCATAATAACTAGGCTTCATCTTGTCATTGACATAATTTAACAAGAAAACAGACAAAAGTTACAACTTGCTATCTAATACTGTTAAACAAAGCTCATTTAATAATTATTAAAATAATTTAAATATATAATTGTATTCATTCATTTTATATTACCTCCTGAGCTCTCGAGAAATTGGCTTAAGGTGCATGAAGTTACAGAACCCACTTCTAGTACACTCGCCCATTTCATATTGACGGCAGCATGCTTCACGGAAATCTGTGACAGGTGATAACTCTGCATATACAGGCCTACCACCAAACCAGCGATTGTTTAGATCATTTACAGCTTTCTCTGCATCTTCTTCTCGACGGAACTTTGAATAATAAATTGATTATTTAATAATATCAGAAAATTTTAACTTTAGTCATGGTCACCAGTTTACATTAACTAACTACTTACTCATAAAATTAAGAAATTCTATTTCTAAAATTTTATTTTTTCTCTCACATGAAATTACCTTAATATATACATTCCCAACCAGATGATCCCCGAGATTGTCACACACATTCATTTCTTCTATTTCTCCATATTTATCTTCACATTCAACAAATACGTCTTCAAAGAAATTGTCATAGTGCTCTTGCATTTCTTCATCTGATACATTTGCTACCACCACTAAAAAAATATGTATTAATATACATAAAAAGGATACTGACAGTAACACTATACAGCTCTAACAGATGGGTTTAGGAATTTAAAATTGGAGGGAATACTTCTCTTGTTCTCAAAAGTTTCAAGATATAAATGTTGTAAGTCATTGAAAATTTGGGTTTCAAATAAGTTACATAAGACACAATATTTACATTATATTAGTATGTATTGGAACATTTTGGTAAAGACATGAATACCATCGGAAACTAACAGTTACATGATTTAAGTTAATTAGATTATTTAAATATATTAAGATAAAGGCACAAGTTTAGTATATAGGACGCGGCCCCTGGCGGAGTGGGTGATATTTTTGGATAGGGTAGGTGACAGGGAGCAAAAATATATAAAAAATATTTTAAGGAAACGTAGAAGTAAAAAGTTATTGAGACTTAAAGTTACAACATTTCCATACATTGCGTTACCAACTGGCAGAGTGGGTGGTATTTTTGGATAGGGGAGGTGACAGAGTCAAAATTTTTAAGCTATTGCATAGCTTCTATCGCGGGCCTTGAGCGTCGGGACCGAATACAGAAATTCCGTAACGAAAAAAACCTGACACCCCCCACTCCGACCGGCACAGCGGTGATACTTTTTAGTTTTTCCCTCTATCGATAAATACCAGAACTTTTAATTACTTTTTGAAATATCACGCTTATCTCTTTAGTTCAGCAACCCGCCTTTAGGTGGCATTGGTTGTATTGGAAAACTACCGTATTCAGCTGTTTGTGAGAAAATATATAGGTGTATAGGTATTTATCATCTATGTACAACAGTGAATATCTGTACTCGTATAATTTGTGTACAAAGTGTTTTAAATATGAATAAACAAAAAGCATTTATTAATAAAGAAAGTCAAGGAAAAAAAATACTGCATTAATAAAATAAATAAATAATTATAATTGCATAAGTTGATAAAAAATGCTATGCAATAGCTTTACCGCGGCAGTCTCCGAGTGCCACATTTAATTTTATTGCTATTATAAGTGCTTTATGTTCATTTAAAATTCGGTGATAGATCTGACTCATCATCTGGAGATCATTTTGACAATTGAAAGTGACATTTTGATATTTCCAAGTGTCTAAATGGCAGTAATGTCTAAATAATGTATGGAAATGTTGTAACTTTAAGTCTCAATAACTTTTGACTCTTTTGTTTCCTCAAAATAATTTTTATATATTTGGACTCTCTATCACCTCCCCTATCCAAAAATACCACCCACTCCTCCAGGGGCCGCGTCCTATATACTAAACTGCAGCCAAGATAAATAATTTAAGAAAAGTTAAAACGCAAACTCAACTAAAAATACTTACAGTGACTACCATCAGCTGATTTAGCTGAATTTTGTGGATTCACATACAAGTTTTGCAGCAATACAGTCTGTGAGAAAGTAGGCTTGTTATGAATTCGTGAACAACGATCTCCATGTCGACAAGCGCCGATTTTGAAGTAGAACGAACAATTTACTCTGAAATTATAAAGAAATTAGACACGACACTGCTGTATTATTATTACTGACATATATATTTGTTGTAATAGTTCAAATTGAAATAGACTTAACCTCAAACATGAAATATAAAATTTTACTTGACTGTAGGTTGACCACAAGAAATTATATTATAAGAAAAGAATTAAACTTACTTGTCCTTTTCAGTACCAAATATAGCCGCCAAATATTCGGCCATATTCAGAAGTTTCTTTCACAAATTGCAGTATGAGATGTTGTTTCTGTGTCAATAAATATACGAAAAATTTATAGAATAAATACTTAAATCAGTAAAAAATATTTTGTAACATTGTTTAATACATTACTAGTGACTTATTTTAATTAAATTTAATATCGAGTCTACAGTAAAAAATTTCAAGCTATACATCAGCATTCAGCGGCGTTTAATAATATCCACAGATTGTAAAAAAATTAAAATACTACGTATACTCCACAGCTTATAAAAGAAATGCGTACAGTTGGTCTACAGACTAAAAAGAGATATACCGTATACGTATATTGTATCCTCGCTAAACTATTTGGCCGCCCCGAAGTTGGCACCATGGATGAAAAATAAAGTACATAGATGGATTAGTTTCATTGGCACTAGCTACTAATTTGAACCCCGCTGGAGCATATAGGCACCACTTCCGGCGTTACCGTCAAACCCCGCTGGTGTCTATAGGCACCATCTCGCCCGCTGCAGTTTTATCACTAATTACAAGACGAAATCAGTGTATTTTATGCTAAATGAGTGATACACGCAAACTTTAGAAGTTTTATGAAGTATATAAAAAAAAATTTAATTAAATGCCGACAACGTTAAAAATATACGCTTCAAAACTTGTTTAAATTTCAAGTGAAGAGCGTGCGACTCGCTATGGTTTTTGTGTAATTAAAATCTTTAAACTAGTGAACTTGTGCCGTAAACGTATGAATATTCATTGTTAGTATTCTCTGCCACTATTGAGATACTAATAAGTGTAAAATCGCATTATAAAATTAGTTTTTTGGTCCAACAAGTTTTGATGTATAAATTTCGTAAAATAAATCGCCATTATATAACATGAATTTTGACTATTACTCTCTGATTTGGTGCCCGATAACGGTAAATCACTACATACAAACTAATATAATTTCATATTTTCAGTTGTTTGTAGCATATTTCAAGTTTTATAATATAAATTATGTTTATTTACAAATAATACCTATGAGCTGTCAAATTTGACATATTTGAACTCTCATCAAAGACCAGTTAGACATTGACACATGTCGATATATGCTATCGATAATATCGATATTTTAATATAAATATATGTTGAAAATGTAAGATTGTTTTTTTACTTTTTGTTAGACACAGTGGAGAATAAAATGCAAAAAAAATATTCATATGTTTTATGAAATATGGTAGGTATAAATAAAAGCCTAAATACAAAATCAAACATAATATACGACACTATAATAGGAATACAAAGACGCTCATCTATATCTAAATTAATAATGAATGGCAGAATGTCGCTAAGCTCAATATCGGCTCTATATCGGCTGTACTAATTAGCCTAATTATTTTTTTCAAATATTCGTCAGAGAAGGTTCTTATGAAGACAAAAATTAGAAAAAAATCACAGAAAAACGTAAAAATCCCATTTTTCTTTTTCCTTACTACTACATTACAATAATGAACGCAACCTTAAAATTAATGTAAACTACTTGAATGCATTTGTATATTTGACAATCTTTTTCTACGATATACAATTTGACGTTGAATTTATTTGTTTGTTTGTCCTTCTTACACATCGAAATAAAATGCCAGATTGTTGTGGTTTTTGAGTCAAGATAGTTAAAGGGCTGGAGAGTGAAATAGGCTACTTTTTACCAAGGGAGATTATCTCGTTTCTACGAGAAAACAAGTTATATTTATTCCCCGCATGAGCGAAGCGAGGGTGAATCGCTAGTTTGAAATAAAATAAGCGTTCCTTGACTGTCTCCTCGAATTAAAAGTAGTGTAAAAAGTTATTGAAGTAGTGTATATTATTGAGTTGTTCTACTGGGAAATACTCAGTAATAATAGTTTAGGAAAGTGTGTCTACCATTTGAGAGGTTTTAAATATTGTACTTATAGTGTTTTTCACATTGTTCAGCACTAGAAGAAACTAAAACTATAAGAGCTATATTATTAAAACTCTCATTCTAAAACTATTATTTTAAAAATAAAAAAAGATAGGGGTATATAAAACTACATGAAAATTGTGAAAACTAATACCATATTAACGTTATAAATATTTAAATTGAGATATATATTTCTCTTTTTATATACTTTTAACGCTAATTATTATTTGAAGAAGATATGCGAGTAGATTTTGAGATATGGTATATTTTTGGCTACGGGCATTTGTTACATACAAAGATTGCATCTATTTGTCATAGAAATACAAATTAAGTTATACTACTCATGAAAAAAGTATTGTAGATGAATAAACAATATATTAAGTTATTTTTTTTTCGTAATATAATACATAATGTATTAAAATACATAAATTATTTTTTTCATGCTACGAGAGCTAGCTAACTTGCGTGCCAAAGCTTGAACTCTCACATTTATTAGATTTTTTATAATAATAATTTTATTTATGTCATATTTTTATAAAAATGGCACTTTATTTAATGATTTTGACTGTAACTTGTCCAAAAAATTATATTATTTTATTGCACCTATTTAGCTTTTTTAAATACTCACTTTTTTATTGTTATAAACAAATATAAAAATTGTAATAGTGTTTATGTGTGTTTAGCCGTTCACAAAAATAATCGATAGTTTTTACTTTTTAGTCTTGTACATACTACATGAGTCCATCACTACGCATCTAAATATTATTAGTAAATTATTTTAGTCAACTGCTCATGTTTAAATGTTTAGTTTTTTGAATTAAAAGTGTTAAGTTTTTATATATATGATAATGCTTAGCTTCTTCTTTTATAATTTAAGCTAAATTTATATACAGAAACGTTAATTACAATGCAACACGAGCGTCTGTAAAAAATAACCTCAATTTTTCTCTCTTAATAGAAATCCATCCGAATTTTAATTACAGCGGCTTATTATCAAGAATTATGGATCCATGTATTTAAAGTAAGGACTATTCTGTATTTTAGTATTATTTTGATTAAGAATCCAAACATTATAACTCGGATGTTTGTTTTGAAAATTGCGCGATGAGCTGCGCAAATACAACGAACAAGCCGCGAGTACTATAAAGTTTAGAATTTGATTGTAACTAACAACTAATATAAAGAAATCAAAAAATGGTTTTGTGCGATTACATGTTTATTCATAAAATAGTGTTTCAAATTTAGTGTAAATATAGACCGTGGTATTGTCAGAAATCAATATAATACAACAACTAGTAAATATTCAGCTAACACTCATATATTGTTAGCTTATTTATAATTCATCAATAGTTAAAAGTGTATTTTACATATTGTCATAAATGCTCAGATTCTTTAAAAACCCATAACAGCAAAAACATTTTAAATCGGTGCTATATAATTTGAATTACGACTATTTTTTTATGTAATGGTTGTATCGGGGAAAAATGACGCGCGGGCTCGGTGTTTAACGGGTGTTGGATGTCAGAAAGCGCGGGGTTCTAGTGGTTAAAAGACCAATGATACCTATTATGTACGAATAATTTAAACATTCAATCCAGAAATTCAAATAAGTAACCAGTGTCATTTTAAGGCATATTGTGTTCAATCTTAAAATCAACGCATTATAGTTATCTGTTACCTATATTAATTTTAATTATGTTTTACAAGTTGTAACTTTAACATAAATATAAGTATTAATTAGTATTACATGCTGGTTAGCTTAGAGTTTAGACTGATAATATGTATTTTATTATTCGATAATTTATAAATTAGTAAAACAATTTTTGTGTCTCATAAGTATTCTTTTATAGTGGTTAAAATTTATTAAGTAGGACCTAGTACTTTTTGAGTAATTAAAATACATATTTTATTTTGCTTGTTTTAAAATCCTGTTTAAAATTTTACTAATATTACTCGAGCTAAAACAGTAACTATAGTCTGTAACTGTTACGTAGGTACAGTACAGACTGAAAAGATATTATTACCTATGATTATAATGTCGATTGTCGGCTAACTTTATTCCTTGTTTGTCATCGTCGTCTGTCAGTTAAAATCCGTGTAACGGTGTGCGGTACGTGAGTGCTGTGATCAGTGATGGAGAGTAGAATCAACGTGTTTGTGGTTGGAGGCGTTAAATCGTTGTAAATTAATTGCAACGTTGCCGTTGGATATTGGGCCTTCTTTTAACCGAATTCATAGTTTGTTTTATTTAACCATTTGCTAATGTACTATCTGCATAGTCAAGAAATGTAAATATAACCACGTATAGTCAAAAAGTAATTGTGTAATTATATTTAAAACAGTGAATGGATGCTGATAAACTCTTTGAAGAAACGATTAAAAACTGTTGCTAAGGGTCCTATTAAAATATAATAATAGTAACCACGTCGAGAATTTCATGGCAACAGTAATTTTTGGTCATAAATCGTGACAATGTCTTACAATTCTACACTTGATGATTTCTGTGGCTCTAAATTTTGGGTAAGTAGGTCTTTGACCTTGGCATAGCTACCAAGATATAATAACTTATATATTTACAAGGTTAATGAAAAGTAATGAAGCAAAATAATGTATTTGTAATTTGAGATTAATCAATGTCATTAGTTGCTCTATTCAAGAATATTAAGTAATTAATATTTTTTTTAATATAATCAGCCAGTTTCTCTTTATGTACGAGTAGTATATTGTTTGTAAGTTAACTAAATGTAATGAATATTCTAGAATCCTAATAATTATAAAATCTATGATATTATTATTATAGTTATAAACAAAGTAATTGTCTTATTTTATTTAGAATATTAAATATACTATGTCACTAAAACAATGATTTTCTCATAGTAATAAATCTCATAATATTTCAAAATCTCATAATTTTACAATCTTACTTATGGCCATGACCCCAGACATTTTCTATTATACCATCATGACCATGAAATAAAACCTGTTTTTTTAATAATTTACAAATTTACTTTTCAAAGTTTTAATGATATAATTCTTGTGGTTACAAATCACAACAGGTAAATTATATTTATATTAAAATTTGTTTATTTTTTCTATTTAAAATAGAAAAATATACATACCTTTAAGCTTTTAGAAGTTAAAAATTCAAGAATACTTTGACATATCAGGACTATACTAAAAAATTGAGATTTTTTTAAGTCATAACATAAAAAAATCTATTAACCAAATAAAAAACTTCTATATTGGTAAGCTGAGTGTTAGCAAAAAGTACTCCCTTAATCTAGAAAATAAGGTACTAGAAATTATAAGTGTACCCCTGTGATTCATTGCTCTAAAAATACTTAAAAAAGTTTTTTGCCACAAAAAGACTGAAATTTTTTGAGTTTTTATGATAATAACATAATAATAATATTAATTTTTAAAATATCAATGCATGTTACATTTTCTGGTTTTAATATTTGTTACTTTGTTAGTTATAATTTTTAATTTAGAGTGCTTTCTGGACTTACTATCCCAAATTGCTTTAATATAGATACATATTATGTATATAAATACCATACCCTAGAACTAAGGAAGCTTCATCAGAAAGCATGCCTATAAAAAGAATATGCTTATAAAAGCTTTTTAAGTAAATATTGCTAATTTCTATAATGGGATTTTTAAATAATTAGGTATATCTCTATTATTGATATAATTTTAGGACTTTCTCATAAATTTGGCATGTAGCTATTGTAGTGTTCATTTCATTTTAGTTGTGATTATGTTTTACCTGTGATACAACACACCATATGCTATGTTACTATAACATAAATCCTGCTTGTAAAGGTCCTGTTTTTGAAATTGTTTACAAATAGACAGACTAGAGGTTTATTTATTAATTATTCCCTAATTTTTATCACACCAGTAAATATAAAGACTGTATTATATCACAATTTTGACATAATAATTTACTTCATTTTTAATTTACTAAAGAAATTGTGATAAGTGCAAAAACTATAATTTCATAATATTCAATGAATACATGTTGTGTATATATAGCACCTTCGAGAAGAGGATACTGCTTGTACATTGTACATACATATTATTAAACTAGCATTGCCCGCGGCTCCACCCGCGTTCAAATGACCAAAACCCAAATACTTAGGTTTTACATATTAGTATACTCTTACATTGCAGGTTTTGTATTTTTTCTCAGAAATGAGACAGTTTCCCGCGGTAAAAAGTATCCTATATGTTGATCCAGATAACCAGCTATCACCATACCAAATTTCATGAAAATCCCTTCAGTGGCATTTCTGTGATGCGGTAACAGACTGACAGACAGACAAAAAATCTAAAAAGTATAGATTCGGCCTCTGTTTCGATAATAATGACTATTTCAATAAGATTCCCCAAAAAAATATTGAATGTACAGATTGGACTATTATTATATATGGAATTTTTAAATAATTATATCTCTATTATTGAAATAATTTTAGAACTTTCTCACAAATTGGGCATGTAGCTGTTGTAGCATATACAAATAAATGTTTTTGAATTTTTAATTATTAATATTCTCATTTCGTCATTGAAGCATATTTAAAAATATAGCGTATCTGCCGAAGCCTGAATATATACTCGTACAAAAAAAAAGCTAAGCGTGATTCTTAATACTTTTTTTTAAATATATGTATGTCTGCGTTCAGTTTCCATAATGAAAAAAACATTTAAAAATCAAATAATGCAAGTTTTTTTTCATGTCGGGCTGTGACCTCGTTTTATTACAATAAACTAGACTGCAACGAACATTCGGCTACTATTCGGTCGATTAGGCCGAATATACTATTCGTTGCAATAAACTATAAATATTTATAACAATTTTTAGCATTTTTAAAATAATCTGTTTAAATATATTTATAAAAATTGAAAAATCATGTTTGCTTTATTATTTAAATATTTTTCATTTTTAGGATAGCAACTTAACTTGGTACACCGAAAATCCTGAATTCACACCATGCCTTGAAAAAACTGTTTTAGTATGGATACCTTGTTTATATCTATGGGTGGCAGCTCTACTAGACCTATTTTATATTTTGAATAGTAAAGAGAGAAATATACCATGGAATTTATTAAACATAAGCAAATTAGTGATAACATGCCTTCTAATAGTGTTAAAGTTTGTGGATTTGGGTGTGACTGTCCACAAATCATCAAAAGAAGATGAAGATGTGTTCAATGCAGATTATTACAGTCCTATTGTGAAGATTCTTACATTTGTAAGTATTTTATACTACAGTTTATTAAGAAATTTTATTAACAACTAGCGACTCACCCTCGCTTTGCTTGGGTTCTTCGCTAGGTACGTTCTAGCGGTTAATGATTCCCATACAAAATAAACATCTCTAATTATTAACCGACTTCAAAAAGGACGAGGTTCTCAATTCGACTGTATGTTTTTTTTTTATGTTTGTTACCTCAGAACTCCGTTATTTATTAACCGATTTGGACAATTTTTGTTTTGTTTGGAAGGGTATACTTCCAGATTGGTCCCATTTAAATTTCAAAAAAAAAAACACCCCTAAAGGTGGAAAAACAACTAATGATGAATTTAACCTACTTCTAATTGTCATATTGACTTGAAACTTTGCAAGTATTTCTATTTCCGTTGATAGTACAGTGGTTTGGTGTTGTTGACCTGATCTGATGGCAAGGTCAGAAGGTGGATAGGTCGAACTCTTCAACGGCTAATAGTAGATACTTTGAGTTTGGGCTTATTTTGTTTGATTTGACAAGCCTAACACGTTAGAATCCTTACTTTGCTACTACTGTCTACACTAAAAAGGGAAAAATAAAAACTTTTTAACAAAAAAATAAAAACGACTTCAAACAAAAGCACTAAAAAGTAAAAAATAACTGATTGGTAGTTTTCATTTACTATACATACCTAATTAAATATTTTCGAAGTCGGTGTGCTTTGGCTAAGTAATTAAAGCTTACCTATTAAATACATACCTAATCAAATATTTTCGAAATCGGTGCCAGCCCATACAAAGTTTTTTAAAATGGTACTTGAAAATATATCTACAGGATATTGCAAGAGATTTCATTACAGTTTATTAAAATTTTCAAAACTAAAGTGATGTGAGACAAAGCTGGAGGTATTATAAATTTTATATACATACACTGTATGTCCTTGTTGCTATCAGATCCACAATAAATACCTATAGTCATTATGCAGCTAACACAAGAGTTTACCGACTTCCTTATTTTAAAAGATGCATAATATTATTTAATCATTCTAAAACCAATTTTTGCTTAATAGCGGACGTGACCTACCCCTTTATTCCCTAAATCTACCACAACTTTAGCGTTCTGTTGCAACTTTTCTCTTCTTTTCTCTGTCTGTCACTTATTTTCTAAGAAACTCGTTTAAATGGTATGTAGTAAGAGAAGCTCATTAAAATTAAATACTTAGATAACGGATCGTGTCGTCGCGATGACTCTTGACACAATACACAATCTCATAGGTGATTTTAGATTTCTATGACTGCACTCTTTAGACAAGTCGTTAAATACTTTTCCATGTATATATTTACTATTTTTTAGTTCTTTAAAACCCGCATGGAATCCATTCAGTAATTACTTCATAACAAGAGTCAAAATCATTATGTCATTATAATAACCTTGACCATTTACTACAAACCACATATAATAATAGGATAATTTAAGTGTGACCTTACAATACGAGAATTTTTGTTATAAGTCTACATGTAGAAACATCTTGATGGTTGTGTTATTAAAAATAGGTTTTTGTCCATATTGTTAGTATATAAAAGTTTGCTGTGTTTAGCCGTAATAATAAGACAGACAAACAGACTAGAGTTACATTGAAGTACATATTAAATAGGGTAAACATACCGGTTATCGACCGTTTAAGCGGCTTGTTGACTTCGGAGTTGATTTCTATCATAAGGTTGTACTCCAAGACATTTCAAAAAAAATTCATTGCATCCTACAATAGTCTACTTTCATTAAACCTAGCGTCTATAGACGTATCAGTGATACATAATTTAAAAAAAATATATGTATTCAGCCCTTTTTAACGTCCCACTGCTGGGCACGGTCCTCTCTTCAGTACGGGGGGAATAAGGCCATAGTCCACCACGCTGGCCAAGTGCGGGTTGGCGGACTTTACATGTCTTTTGAAAACTTGCTAGGTTCTCTCAGCATGCAGGTTTCCTCACGATGTTTTCCTTCACCGTTAAGACAAGTGGTAATCATGTTGGAAATGATTCGCACATGACAATATCAGAGGTGCGAGACCCGGGATTTGAAGTCGCTTCACTCGGTTTCCCATGCGAGCGCGTTAACACTGGGCTACCACTGTCTTAAAAAAAATATATTCGTAAAAATAGCAAATATACCGGCTATCGGCATTTTCACTCAGTTATCGTCCACTAGTGCACTGGTTATCGGCCAAGTAATTCAGGGTAGAAAAACGACTCTTGTGTAATAGCCTGTAAGGTTTGTGATAGTATGAAAATAACACAATAAATTCACAAAGGCTGTATATTTTTACTCTCTTTTACGACTTAAAAATAAAATTAAGTAAGAAATTAAAATCTCGACTCAAATAAATAGCTATTTCTGGCTTTAGGATCAATAAAATCTCTTAACATAATTATATAAAAATAAAATTCAAACATAACATGAAATTATATACCCAGTAGAACCGAGACTTAAGGAAGAACTAATAGGTACCAATACCATTAATAAACAATATAAGAATTCTTGTTTAGAGTAAATATTAGTACACAAAGTTTAATTAGGTACTAAAATTACTTAATCAGTCTTATCTTTTTCTCGTGAGAGCTAAATATATTTTTAAAGAAAAATCGTCATGATGCTATCAAAGTAATTATTTTTGCTAAACATAAATTGATTATTTTAAGTTTTAACAAATACTAAAAGATATGTTATACTTATTAAATTAGTTGCAATAGTATAAATATCGTATTGCCTTGAATCTCTTTATTTTTGACTTGATATTTCTGGCTTCTTCACTTACACAGAATAACAGTTAACAACGATCAATGACAACAAATACACATTCTTTTAAGTTATTAATGGTGGTAGAACGTTTCTTGTTTCAAATGGATGGCAAAAGTTCAAAAACTTGCCGACTATTTCTTGTGTGTAAATGTAACTCCTAGCTACACTATACTTTGACTTTATCAGCTCCATACATAGGTATGTACCTACATTTTTATTACACACATAGAGTTTAACTCTGGCCTCTGCGACTGTTACTCAACTGCTAGGTTTCATATGTAAAACTGACAGACAATTGTTATATTTCAGATTTTATCCGCATTATTATTATATTACAATAGAAAGTTTGGTATGAGAGCTTCAGGAGTGCTGTTCTTCTTCTGGGTACTTTTAATATTAGCGGGTATACCTCAGCTTAGATCTGAAGTATTGATGCATTATAGGAAAACAGAGGACGAGAATGTACAATATAACTTTGTTAGCTACATGATATACTTTCCACTAATAGTATTGATGTTTATATTGAATTGCTTTGCGGATTTACCGCCTAGAGATACGCCATATAAATTCGAAAAGGTAAATATAAATAATCAATTAATTAAAAAATTTTAGTGAACGCTGACCATTAAAGGAAATAATCATGTTATTGTTTTTTTTAGAATCAATGTCCAGAAAGTGCCTCAGGTTTCCCCAGCCGACTAACGTTTAGTTGGTTTGATCCCTTAGCCCTTACTGGGTTCAAAAGAAGTTTAACCGAAACAGATCTCTGGCCTTTAAATCCAAAAGATTCATCGAAGGAAGTAGTGCCGCGGTTTGATAAATTTTGGCAGAGAACATTAAAGAAAAGAGAAAAGTAAGTATATCTGATATTATTTTTTCTATGTTACTGGAATAATGATAATGATTTCGATAATTTATTTTGTCAACTTTTAATATAAACAGAAAAATTTTGACTTTAACACTAAAGTATTGCTAAATAAGGGCTTTCCTTTAAGATTCTTATAGCATCTATTATTATTCTATTACTTATATACTACCAGTTATTAGAAAAACGGGATAATCTAGAATCTAAGCATCTGTTGTTAACCGACTTCCAAAAAGGAGGAGGCTCTCAATTCGTCGGAATTGATTTTTATGTATGTTCACCGATTATATGAACCGATTTGGAATTTTTTTTTGTGTCAAAGAGTATACTTCCCAGGTGGTCCCATATAAATTTTATCGAAATCGGTCGAGCGTTTTTAAAAAAAATCAGCAATAAATTATTTTTTTAAATAAATTGTTTAATCGAATATGTCATTAAAAAACTTTCTTCTTACAAATTACCTGCTTAATACGTCTACACTAAAAATGGAAAATAAAAACTCAAAAAAAAACGACTTCCAGGCACTAAAATGTATATTTTTGTACTATAATTATATCATCCGCGTGAATTGCTAGTGGCAGATACTAACTGATAATCGGTAATTACTTAATCTAATCTAACCCTGTTCTATATCCATACACCCATGCTTAATATTATAAATGTGAAAGTGTGTTTCTTTGTCTGTCCTTTCACGTTTGACGGATTGGCGTGATTTTTTGTGTGGAGACAGTTGAAGGGCTGGAGAGTGATAGGCTACTTTTTATCGCGGGAGATTACTTAATTCTCACGGGAAAAGTCGTTATAATACAATCTTGAAATTTGGTATATATGCTCTTCAATAAAATTAAATAAATATAGGTTTTAATATTTTATGAAATTCATCCTATAAGGGGGTAAAATAGGGGATAAAAGTTTATATGAGGTAAAAGGTTAACCTTTAAAGCCTTTAAACCTTTAAAGGGTAACCTTTTTAGAGATTTTTTGTAGTTTTAGTGCGAGCGAAGCCGCGGGTTCTGCTAGTGTTTTATAATTTGTGTAATTCATGACAATTTTTTATGTAATACGATAAATCTCATTTGTACTTGTGGTACTGTAGAAGATGTACAACATGTTTTAGTGGAATGTACCCGAAGCGGAGCTTTGTGAAATAATTAATTGAAATTTTTAATTTAAATGTAAACGTGGATTTTATAACATACTTGCTATTCTTGTAACCGTACAGGCTAAATTAGTTTTTAATGAAATAATAAAAATACTTAAGAAAAAACAGCTATGTAGATGAATATATTTTTTTGTGATAACGATAGGTCTAGGATAATTTTAAGAGATTCAAAGACCTTTAATTTTTCAAGAATAAAAAATAATCATATATGTATTTGTACTAAAAATCTCCAACTTAGATCGTTTTCAAATAGGTAGATTATCCCACAATAATAAATATTATAAATTCGAAAGTTTGTATGGACGGACGTTTGTTACTCAATCACGCCAGAACGGCGGCTTATGATTGATGCAAAATAAGATAGTTATAATTAGAGAATATTACTTATTAAAACACGTCTTACAAAATTCGAATAATTTATTCATTTATAGAACCTACCCCATTCAAATTACATATTAATGTTAGATAGATAGTTCTCAGATCTAGGCAGCGCGCAGAATAATAATAATTAATTAGTTAACAGAAGGCTCGAAACTTTCTGCACTTTAATGTTCCAAGCCAGTTAAGATGCAGATTAGCAAGCTTAACTACACTACTTATTACGAGCCAGGATTCTAGCTTCGGGAATTAAAACTTAGTAATTGCAATGTAGATAGATATGTTTCATTTAATTCAGTTTCCTTGCTAATAGTTTCAATGAAAATAGATATCTTATTGTATTTATGATAACGTGTCACTTATCGCAGTTTACATTACTCGCGTCTCGCGCCCAGTGGTGCCCTAATTTAGTTACTAAGCACTATAGTATATATTCCACCATCAGTTCCACCACCACTATCACTTCTCGTATGTTTTGATAATCTACAATTAGATAACTTTGAGCTTGTACCGATCACGGCTGAATACAAAGTCAATAACATTGTAGTGCTAGAAATTTTCGAAATTTATCTAGTAGTAACAATTTCTTTCTGGAAAGAGCTCCGTCTCTTTCCCATTCACGGTAATATCCCATTTACTTTCTTGGCATGGGCTGGCAACAGCTATCTTAATTATTCTTAACCTGCAACTCACCCTCGCTTCCCTCAGTTGGGTTCTTAGGGGTATTATTGTCATATATTTTATTTATTTTATTGCTTAATTTCAAACTGTTTCGAGCAACGCGACTGCTACTTTTCTTCCGATTTCATTTAAAGTTATTTAATTTTTGACAGTAAACCTATTTGTATCGGAATAAAAAAGCCGATAGCACGCGGCGGTCATGTAGCTTCCTAGTGAAAGAATTATCAGAATTGGATTAGTGGTTGCAGAGAACCTATATACAAACTTTCAAACTTTACCTATTTATAATATTAATATAGATTATCACGGCCTGCTATATTGATGTTGTTCTACACTTGCAACTTTGAAACAATATTATGCTTCTACACAGATATATCAAGGGAGATTAATAAAATTATTATTGAATGTACCTGTTAAGTTTAGACTTAAGTATTAATTCCTATTATTCGATTCTATTTGAGACACTTTCGCAGGCGTGCACATGTTATGTCCATTCATTAAAACATTCTACTCGTAATTGAATGAATTGGATCAATGAAGATGAAAGACACGCACTTCACTTTCATATACACATCAATGTGTAATAATACAACGGTATGTTAACTATGAAAAACAAAAACAAATCTATCCCACGGAAACCGTAAATTACATTTTTGCGAGATAAATAGCAACTTAAGTGGTATTCCAGACTGTAATTTATCTCTTTGCCAAATTTCATCCAGATCCGTTTAGCCGTTCTGGCGTGATTGAGTCCATCCATCCAAACTTTCGCATTTATAATATTAAAATAAAAAGATCTTAGATATGTAATGGATTTAAACCTTGTGTAGTATACTTTTATAATTTTTGCCTACGGCTCCTCTCACTTGGTAGAAGAATTGATAATAATCACTATTTCTAATTTCCCTTATAATCCGTTGAGCCCTTATTTCTTACCGCGCGTCGTCGCAAAGAAGTTAGTAACAAATATAATCCCATTTAAAAACTACCAGTATTTAATAATAGCAGTCTTAGTAAATACATACTTACATACATTACTCACCAGTCATCACAATGTTTTTTGAAGTTGTGCAATTTATGTTGTAACAAACCAGATAAATAAATATATTTCGTTATTATATCTAGCGTAGCGTAGGTATAAGGTACCTACCTGTATTTTGAATTTTACTTACCTACCTACATATTATTTTTGGAAATATTTAAATGTTCTTGATATATGGAATCGAATTTAATGCCTTATAAATTGTGATAAAAGGCATTAATATCATGATTCAGATTTTAGCCTTACACAGTGTTAATTATAGCGCACTTCTAAGAACCTCAAGGAATATTTTTTCTAGATCCTAACATTTTAAATTTAACAGGTGAAGTATAAAAAAATGAAATTTTCGGATTTACATGAATATAATTTGGTGTGTTCGTTTAATGAATGTATAATGATTTTTTAGTGCTGGCGGACCAAGAGCGACATACAGCAAGACATCGGCGAGTGTGAACTTTAAGCCTGATAAAGAAAGAAAGCCGGCGTCGATTTTGCCTGCTCTATGTTTAGCTTTTGGAGGGCAATTCCTCTTCGGAGCATTACTCAAATTTTTTAACGACGCACTCATGTTCCTATCACCACAGCTACTCAAGTAAGTTGCATCTACGGATACCTTTTTCATATCGCTGTAAAAAAAAGGAAAGATTTTTTTTGCTTAGCTAACTTGCTTACTTAACTTAGCCTCAGAAGTTTTCACGGTAGGTATTGAAAGAGACTATTAGTAGTACATATTAGGTATGATATCATCTTTTAATAATGTGTCCTCGGTTAAGCTTAATTTAGCCATTCATTCAATATTTAACTAGCATTGCCCGCGGCTCCGCCCGCGTTCAGATGACCAAAAACTAAATTCTTAGGTGTTACATATTAGTATACTCTTACATTGCAGTTTTTGTATTTTTCCTCAGAAATAAGATATTTTCCCGCGGTAAAAAGTATCCTAGGATCGCGCGCTACATCGCCCGGTTTATATAGCTTGAGCAGGCGGTCGAGCGATGCGGGGCAGAGGGGATGGACTCGCCGTAGGCATCTCAATGCTCGCCAAGCATTAAAAATGTTTCGCTACTAATTACTTCTAACAACGATATCTCAAAAACTATTCATCTGATTGATTTAGTGTAAAGAGCAATTTTAATCTGCATTAAATGACTAAGCTAACTAAAATATTCATTTGGATAAGGATTAATACCGAACTAAAGAAAATAACTTTGAAAATAACGTAATGTTTTTAATTAAAAATGTTAACATAAAAGTGGTTATTGTAAGTCAACCGTAAGAGATAGAGATATGCTATCGCGGACTTTTTTGTAGCATTTTTATAGATTTTGAATTCTCTAGTACATTACTTAACTGTATCTTTGCTAGTTTACGCGGCGTTCGCGTGGAAAGTTCCCATTTGGCGAGATTTTTTGCGACCTCTTCAACATTTGTCGCCGTATTTCAGCTAATTTACATAAAAGCATAATAAATTATATACCTAAACCTTCCTCAAGAATTACTCTTTCTATTGTTGAAAACCGTATAAAAATCCGTTCAGTAGTTTTCGAGTTTATCGCGTACAGACAGACAGGAGGACAGAAAGACGCGGCCGGGGGACTTATTTTTATAATAAGTATAGATGATACTGTAGGATACGTTTAACAGTAATGACTTTAATAGAATTTGGGTAAATTTTAATTTCAATATGTAATCAAAAAATATATTATACGTGACGTATTATGTGTATTATTGTTACGTATTATGTACATACACAAATGTATAATTATTTAAGAGTTTAACTTAATATTACATTAATTAACTTAATATTATAACTTTTTAATTAATAAGTATCGCCTTTAAATGTAATCATTAATATACACTTATAAACTCATATATATTCTAGGAATAATCCATTCATTAAAAAAGCATTTTTTCCGCATTCGTGTAGCATACAAACACAACAACAAGCATTACACCCGAATTGAGTTCTCCATTTTTTTAAAGTCGGTCAATTGTCTATTTCAGATTACTAATAGGATTCGTTGAAAGTAAAGAACCTTTATGGAAGGGTTATGTATACGCAGTCGGGCTTTTAGCATGTGCGACGGCACAGACAATGTTACTGAGTCACTACTTCATGAACATGTCGCTTGTTGGGCTGAGGATAAGGACAGCCCTCACTAGTGCTATTTACAGGAAGTCCCTACGTATATCTAATGCTGCAAGAAAGGAATCGACCGTTGGAGAAATCGTTAACCTCATGTCTGTTGATGCTCAAAGGTATGAAATCTTAATTGTATGCAATTACGATACTAAAAAATGAAAATGTAGGGTGAACTCAATTTTCCGCACTTAAACTTTAAAAACTTACTAAACTTACGACACTTAGGCAATAATGTTATGATAATAGTTTTTAAAGTATTATTTTACTACTTATAATAAGATAATAAAATTTTAAGCTGATGGCTTTACTTATGTCCATTTATTGATTTATATGAGTTCAAAGTTTATTAATATTTCATACTTTGTTAAATGAGATAAATCTATTATAAAATAAACGCCACGTCAGCATGACTTCGCTGTTGTGAATCCAAGGTTATTGTAATGATTTATTTATCAGAAAATTTATATATTACAACTGAAAAAGATGTAGATGTAGATATGTATCTTTTTAAATTAATATGCTATTACTACCGACTCAACCTCGCTTCGCTTAGGATTCGTCCCAAGACAAAAACAAATGATCCCACGGGAACTGTACATTTTCCGGGATGAAAAGTAACCTATGTGCTATTTATATTATTATTATTTTATCTATCTTTGTGCCAAACTTCATGCAGATCCGTTCAGTCGTTCTGGCGTGATGTTTGTTAACATCCATCCATCCATCCTCACAAACTTTCACATTTATAATATTAGTATGGGTTTATTAAGGTATAACACCTGCAGGTAAATTTCTAAGAAATTAATAAAATTTCTAAGAAATCTATTGTTAACTGTAACGATGGCGTGTCCGCTGTCGTTGAGGGAGAGAATAAGTCAGCTAAGTATCTACCAGACATTTAAATTTTGATTATTCTATCTACATTGTTACATTTGTTACGTAAAATACATTTAAATATCATAACAGACGGCACAATAATAGCACACTTTGCTGAAGCTTACTTCGCTTCGTTAACTAAAAAAAATCGATCTAATCTAAAATCGAGTGGAACATATGTATAACCATGCAATATATATATATATATATATATATATATATATATATATATATATATATATATATATATATATATATATATAATAAAGGTCAATACATACTTGTTTTGATGCTTATTTTTGGGTTATTTTCCTATCGGTATCTCGATCAAATGACATTGAAATTTGGGTTTAATATTCTTTGGTTACATATAAAAAACCATTAAGAAATAACAAATTGACCTGTTTTGAACAATAATAGGTGTATTCTGTTAAATATGTAAACGAGGTCATTTCCTTTTCAGTCGTCAGTTTATTCCCTTCAAATAAAATACATTTAATCGAATTATTCATGTAAATGACATACCTATAAATAACATGACAGTGATATCAAATAATACCGCTATCAGACATTGATAAGAGTTCCTCCCGCCTTTTTTGCCAATGGTTACGAGATCTATTCCCATTGGAAGTAATACTTGTTCATATATATTATATAAATTTATTTATTTATTTATTTAACTGCCTCGGTGGTGTAGTGGCTAGCATGTACAGCTGCACACTCGGAGGTCCTGGGTTCGAGTCCCGGGTCGGGCCAAGTTTAGTTATTGAGTCTTTCTGTATAGTAAGTCTCAGTAACAACCCGGAGTTGGGAAGTTGGCGGTGTTTCACCCCCGTGCCTCGGAGAGCACGTAAAGCCGTCGGTCCTGCGCCTTAACTCTCACTGGTTGTGTCGAGCAGTCGTCCCACCGGAGTATGAGAGTGACAGGAATAGAGAGTGCACCTGTGTCTGCGCGTACACTTGTGCACTATAATATCTCCTGCGCAGTTGGCTAGTCTCAATGAGATTGGCCGCCGTGGCCGGAATCGGTCAGGAGAACATCATCATCATAAATTTATTTATAATCTAGTTATGTAGGTTTATCAATAACGAGCTACGATAAATCAGAAGGTTTTTCCAAAATTTACTAAACATTTTTTCTAGATTTGTGGAATTAACAGCATACTTAAATATGATATGGTCGGCGCCTCTTCAAATCACCTTGGCTTTATATTTCCTGTGGGGCATTCTCGGCCCCTCAGTGCTAGCAGGGTTAGCTGTGATGATAGTACTGATCCCAGTGAACGGACTAATAGCGAACAGGGTTAAGACATTACAGATAAGGCAAATGAAGTACAAAGATGAACGTGTCAAACTCATGAACGAGGTTCTCAACGGAATCAAGGTAGGGAATTGACTTTTTTATAGAAACACACATACATATAAATCGACTCAAATATTTGCGGACTCCACTAGAATTCGCGTTTCTACTGCACTGCACGGCGATTATTATTTTTGTAATAATTGTCAACTATATAGTAACACAAACTAATTACATATTATTATGTATAAATAGTACATAGTATCTTAAAAAAATGGTAGAAACTATTATTTAGATGAACTTATCGTTTTTATTTGCACTATAATGTGACAGAGAGGATAAGAATGCCAAGCGCTGTGTACTCCTACCTGTATTTATTACAATAACAAAGATAATAATTTTGTTTTATGTTCGTTTTCAAAGATTGCATACATTATTTAGACGATTGTATATAAATGCAATAATGTATACCTATTTATAATTATATAGGTTATTTTGCGGTTTCATATAATTATTATTTTCTCAGTAAGTTTAACAATATATTACATTTTAATTATGACCTCCATAGGTTAAGCTATAAAAAATAATAGAACTGTGTTAAATTATTGAATTAAGCTGTTTTTGGTTTGTGTTAATTTATTCTCCTAAATTATAACAACTTCAACAAACAAACACTAACACTCTTTTAAATACTAGTTTCGGAAATGTTAGGTATCCAACTGTTGCAATTTTGAGTTACATTAATTATTATCGTTTAGTAAATATACTTCTACGATAGAGTAAAGTAGATAAGCAGGCAATATGTGCTATGTTTATTTTTATTAATAAAACTGGCGACTTGCCCTCGCTTCGCTCGGGTGCATCCCTAGCTACGTTTTAATTTTTTTGAGCGGAACCTTAATTCTCTTTCTAAAATAAAAGTAGCTTAAGTTACTTCTTATAAGCTCAGCTATCTGCCAGAGAAAGTCCTGTCAAAATCGATCCAGCCGCTTCGGAGATTAGCGGGAACAAACAGACGAAATTTTTAAAAATTGAGATTTTCTTATATGTACCATATATAGTTTCATATGTATTTAGTAAAACGTTGTAATTTTGACATTACAAACAGACCCTCAATTTTATTTATCTGTATAGATAAATAAGTTATATTTTTATTTAGTTTTTTAAATTCATTGTCAATATTGAACATTTTTTTATACATTTATTATAGCACGCTCCCGTATAAGTGGATGACTTATTTGTATGTATTTGAAATGTCATTGTGTCGTAATGTTGTGAAACGAAACTTGACATAAGACCAAGGTCAGCCGGCTTACTCTCGACAGCTTCGAGTTCTGAATCAATCGAGTTTGACTCCATTTTGTTAGGATTCGTACTCTTGAAATTGACATCAGCGCACGCTCGTGTAGTGGTTCAAATTGGAACTAACTACGATCGAGAACGGCCGTTACGATGGAAAAGTCTTTCTCCGCACTCAATCGGATAGTTTTAGTATCGAGTTTTAGGATCAATGTAATGTCAAATTTGACTATAGCGAAAAGGATACTTTTTTTTGGATCGAGTGTGGATATTTATTTATATGACATTTTTTCATTATTACGGCTCGCCTGTGATCTTTTTATGTTATTGACGAATCAAAGTAAAAATACGTGTAAAGGATGACACCCATAAGCACTGTTCTGCTAGATATATACTAGAACAAGAAATTGCACAATTGGAAGCTATTTAAACTCACAGAGTTAATTAAAGCCATACATTATATACCTTAAAATAATAATTTATGGAACAGTCAATTGCCCTGTAAGAAGAAAAAATAAGAGTAACGTGAATAGATAGATAGCAAGCGATAATATCTTTTCCAAATATTGTGATGCAATAGACATTAGTTTTTGAATCAATGTTTTATTTACATGGTAATAAAATACGCATTTGTAATAAACATTTTTATTTTACACTTGATACAACCAATTCATAGTGTTAGACGAATTTTATTAATTGTTTCTGCTACTTTGTACGCTGCCAGTAGAGTGGGTTTGTATGTCTTTCGTTTCTCTTGAATCTGAAGTCGATTTCGGTTTTGTTTCGATTTGGTTCGGGAGTAATGCAACCGGATCGAGTTCGAATCAAAAATTAATTCAAATCAAAAACAAAATCAAATGCGAATCAGTTTCAAGAGTAAGCCCATTGCTCTTTATCGTTATACGAATCTGGCTCCATCATCTCGATATCTTATCATTAAAGACCAACATTGTACAATTTAAAAATATCGGCAGAATGAAGAACTGGCTTATAAAATAACACGTGACTGAACAAAATGAAAATACGAAATGCATAAAATGATCTAATATAATCTGTTGACTATCTTGAACTTTTTGTGTGATAAACTCAATTAACAAGAGAAATTATAATATATAAAATATTTGACATTTTAAATAAAACTGTCTTTTCGGATTATTTCGCGGATTTATTGTGATTTTTGGTTCCCGACGTTTCGTATGCTTTTTGAAATCATTTTTGTAAAATAGTGGGTAGGCACTGTCTGTAACAAATATTTATAACGCCTGTGAGACGTCTATAACCTTAGTTTCTTTCGCCAGTTCTTCTCAGGTCTGAGGCTTCTTCTTTCCGAATTGGTAGTAGACTCATGACGTTCATTAAAAAATTGTAATAATTTAATGCTGAATAAAATATTGTGATTTGATTAATCTCTCCCGTGACCATGATTGCTGTAAAGCATTCGAAACGTCTGGAACCAAAAATCAAAGTAAATTCGCGAAATAATCCGAAAAGATAGTTTTATTTAAAAAGAGAAATTAATTTCATTATACAATAATGCTTTGAGATGGGCTTAACTTATATTTTAATATATGTTTTGTTTTCTTCCTCCTACAGGTTTTGAAAATGTATGCTTGGGAGCCAAGTTTTGAGGCCCAAATACTTAAAATTAGAAATGAAGAGATGAAAGTTCTAAAACAAACCGCCTATCTTAACTCTGCTACGTCTTTTATCTGGTCTTGTGCTCCTTTCTTGGTAAGTACCGTATACAAAAGTGAGAATACAATGAGCGTGAATCTCATATGCACATTTTTTTACAGGAATTTGAATTTAAATATTAATAATAATTGCAGAAAATTTAACATAACTATTACATATTTTAAAGATCACTTGCCTCTAAGTAATTATATTTACACGATTATATAGGTACGTATGTCTGATTAGATAATAAAATTCAAGAAAACTTATGCAATGACATCAATAAGGTTAATATAATGTAAACTACTAAACGTATCTATATTCTATATATTTGTGTACAGACGTGCGTGAAGTACAAAGAAAACAGTCATTATTATCAGGTGTTTGTTTAAGGTTGATTATGTAAAATGATATAAAATGAGTTCTATTATTTTATTTGTAATAAAATGTATACTCGTTCCATTTCTTGCATACTAGCGACTTACCCTCGCTTCGCTGGGGTGCGTCCCTAATTCTTTTTCTAAATAAAAGTAGCCTAAGTAGAGAAAAATCGGTATAGCACTTCGGAATTAGCGGGAAAAAACAGACAAAAATTAAAAAAAATGTGTTTTTCTTATAAATACCGTATAAACATAATTTTAATATGCATTTAGTAAAAAGCTGTAATTTTGACATTACACACACATCTCGAATTTTCTGTATAGATTGAAAAATACTGCAAACATATATTTAGACCTATATATAATGACTATATGGGTTTCATAGTCATTATATTATGTAGGTTTATACCGGTATTTATAGAACTGTTTTAAAAGGTTCTTGTTGGGATAAGAGCCCTAATTTTATAAATTTAAGATTTTTAGAAATGCTTTACTTACTTTTAATGATTCGTAATACTTACATAGATACGTGTCATTTAAAGAGTAAAATTAGATAAATATAGAATATACTTCAAATAGATAGGTGACACGCCCCAGTAAAAATCGCAACGCACCCATTCTTTGACTTTTTTATTGACATTGGCGTTTATGGACTATCAGGATTTGTTTTAGATATCATGCAATATTTGAAATTATGTAAACAATTACGACAATCAATTCAAATCGTAGATTATTTCTTATAAATCTTGTTTTAATGACATATTGCTCATAGATAGGCGAGATTAAATTAATCCGTTAATAATATCGTTATTAAATATCTATGAATTGGACGATATAACTTGTTTTTGATAACAAAATATTGATCTGGAATTTAATCTACTTTTTATGCGATAACACATTACTTATTCTTTTTATATTACACTACTATACATTGTACATACATATTATTAAACTAGCATTGCCCGCGGCTCCGCCCGCGTTCAGATGGCCAAATACCAAATTCGTAGGTTTTACATAATAGTATACTTTTACATTGCTGTTTTTGTATTTTTTCTCAAAATGAGATATTTTCCCGCGGTAAAAAGTATCCTATATGTTGACCCGGATAACCAGTTATCACCATACCAAATTTCATCAAAATCCCTCCAGTGGTTTTTCCGTGATGCGGTAACAGACAGACAGACAGACGGACAGACAAAAATTCTAAAAACTATAGATCGGGCTCTGTATCGATAATAATGTCTATTTCAATAAGATTTTCCAAAAAAAAAATTAATATACAGATTCGGCTTAGTTACAATTTTATTATATGTATAGATTATCGTTTATACATAGAAAAAATCTAACACACATATCCGTATTATCGAAATTGCATATTTTAAGAAATATAAAATATATTTATTGCACTTACGGTAATAATTAATCGGGTCAATGTGACAGTTAGCTACCATTATCTAGTTCTAGTCACATACGTCACGCCTAGACTGTGATAATAAATAAGGAATGTACATAATAAGTCATCGTACAATTTTCTCTTACACGTTTACACATTCATACGAAAAGTGTTTAAATGCTAGAAATATGTTGCTCACACGGCTTCAATTGTTTTGCAGCAATCATAGATTTTTGTTGATCTTGCAGTAGATATTATTCATTATAATATGACAATAAATATTTCATTTACTTTTACAAGCGTACCTCGATACTGGACAAAGGATCGAATTTAATTTTCAACAATCCCTCAAACTACCCATTGTAAACGCTATTGTTGAATACCACAAGGTCGGAGTTCTCTACGGTAACTACTCGATTTTTTCTGGATTTGTTCGTGAGAATACCTACTGAACGTTTAGAAATTGTTGAGGTCTAAATATTTAATGCAGTCAAGTGTTGCACGCCATGCAATATTTGATACTTTTCAGATCAATGACCTTATTGTTAAGGTGCTCTAAGAGCCGGTTTTGTAACATTCGGACTGTTTCGCCCGCGATGCTTAAACATTTTTCCACAGCTTTTTAATGGACTTAGCGCTCTTTGTAAATAAATTTTTGAACATTTTTACTTCAGGAAACACATTATTTTTATTTTAATATATGAATTGTTTTCATGTTTTTGTTTAAGGTAACGTTCCTAACTTTTTTCACTTATGTGATTTCTGATCCCGACAACCATATCCTGAAACCTGATACGATATTTGTTTCGATGTCACTGTTCTATATTATGCATTTGCCTTTAGGCTTGCTCCCGCTTATCATCGTGTCAGTGATTGAGGTAGAATTTTCAGTGTAATGCACTTTTATCTATAAGAGGCTGTGGTACTCTTTAGGTTTTAGGTATGCATACTAACTATCATTCATTTAAGTTTTAATACACTGGTTTACGATGTATCGGTACTTTCCATTTCAAATTAAATTTAGGTGTCTCCTTAGTCTTAAGTTTGAATATTAAATTTTATAAAAGAAGGCTATTTTACTGGAATGTTGTTTAGAAATAAAATTTTAAATTTAAATATGTAGGTATGTCCTCTGATACAAGTTTCAATGACAATATTAAACAGGCATCGAGTCAAATTTACATTTTAAAATAAAACTCAACATACGTATACATATGTGTTCATTCAACGAATATGTAAAATTATTTCATGGTACAGCGTAAACACAATCTTCTTGTGGTTATGGCCACCACGACATTTACCTAACTTACAACGTATATTCATATCTAACAAGCACGGCTGCGTCTAAAGATAGGCTCATATAATTGCTGTTGAATTTTAAAATATATATTGTTTGAAATAATTGTAATATTTCAAATACAAAACGTTCATTTGCTTCCTATTTAATTATGTGTTTATTTAGAGATTTCAGAGATATCACTATCACAGAACAGTTTGACACAAACAAGGAATTGATAAAATACTTGTTGACATTTCTAAGATTAAATAATTATTTTAAATTTTAACAGCAGGCTTAACCCATCATGTAAAGTAGATTAATTTTGTATTCCCTGGAATGGTCGTAGGTGTCGCTGATGTCATTTGGGTGCTTTGTCCTAGTGAACGATACGGAAGTACTGGATGCTAAACGCGCTTTCGTAGCGTTGTCTCTTTTCAACATACTACGTTTCCCACTATCAATGCTGCCTAATGTTATTTCAAATGTAGTACAAGTAAGTTTCAGTAGTATTTAAGTAAACAATGTCACAGGCATAGTGTTGGAACCATTTCACTTTCACATAGCTTATTGCATGTCCGGTGAATGGCTAGTAAGGATTGCTTGTTTTGCAGAAGAAAAACTTACTAGAATGAAAAAGGTACATAATAATTTTTGGCAATGTCTAGATTAAGAAATTAAAAGAAGCCAATAGTAGATTTTTCTTCTGTAAAGAAAAATATGCTATTTAATTCTATTTTACAAGTCATGATTTCTTATTTTGTAGACCTCTGTGGGTATAAAAAGATTGAATAAATTCATGAATGCTGAAGAATTAAACGAGAGTTCTATAGAACACGACCCGAAAGAGCGTAAGTACTGGACTGTTTTGAATTATTTACTTTATTGCTTTGAGACAATATAAGAAGATTATTAAATCAAAGATATTTAAAATTATTAAAGAGCCTAGTGACACAATAACATACCTGATACCTTTAATAAAATAATACCTAATATCTAGTACCTATAAAAATTAGAACATTTCATAAAGTTCCTTTATATCAAATTAAGAATACTGTAACATAATGCCGAACTCAGGATAAAATGAGTTTCCTTTTTTAGCAAATCCACTGGTAATTGAGAATGGTCACTTTTCATGGGGCGATGAATCGGAGCCGATATTGAAAAATATAAATGTTCAAATCCCGCGGGGCAGTTTAATCGCCGTCGTAGGCGCCGTGGGTGCGGGAAAATCCTCCTTCCTGTCGGCTCTTTTGGGAGAAATGAACAAAATTTCAGGGCGTGTCAATACTACTGGTAATCATTTTTCCATAATAAACATAAAACAAAATATTTTATCATATTATTCCAAAACAATTTCAGTGACTAAAATTTTAATATCAAGTGGGAAGTAGGTTCTTATCTTGAAAAAACATTGAAAGCGGTCGCATTGAATTAGTGAGAAAATTGAGATTATTTTATAGATTCATTTCATTATGTGAATAAACCTTAGTCTGTATTCACATAAAGACCTATTTAAATTGATAGTTTTTAGAATGATTTCTGATATAAGTATCAATGTCGATGATCACGAGTATATTACCTTTCAGAATCCTCCTCGTTTTAAGCTCTTGATCTAATTGTAACTGTCAAAATCCTTTGACCACAAATATTTAAAAAATCTAAAGCCCTAGTCATGATTAAGCGTAATTTAAAAAAAAAAGCTTTCAAATTCTTTAAGGGACAACTTAACTTAAAGATGTAGTTATACAACAAATGTACACATTTTTTATCGATATTAGTACTTATTATACGGTACGGTACTCTAATTCTAAGTCTATATGTAAGAGCATCACCATAAATTAATTATAATTAAAAATAGTCTTTATTCAACATAATTGAAGAATTGAACAAACATTTTATAATAAAGATTTTTACATTCGTTAAGTAATTTCATTTTAGTAATAATCTTAATAGTTATAACTTTGAAAAGAGTTTTTGATATATACAATATAGAAATATATTTTGGTATTCTTCAGGTAGTGTAGCTTATGTACCGCAACAAGCGTGGATTCAAAACGCTACTTTACAAGATAACATTTTGTTCGGCAATCCTTTGGAGAAGAGCAAATATAATAACGTGATCAATGTGTGCGCTCTAAAGCCGGACTTCGATGTTTTACCCGGTGGAGATCAGACTGAGATTGGAGAGAAAGGTATGTATGATTGGCATCTTTATCTGCTATATTATTATATATTACTATATATTTGTTAACTAGCATTGCCCGCGGCTCCGCCCGCGTTCAGATGACCAAAAACCAAATTCTTAGGTTTTACATGTTTGTATACTCTTACATTGCAGTTTTTGTATCAAAAATGAGATATTTTCCTGCGATAAAAATGATCCTATATGTTGACCCGGATAACCAGTTATCACCATACCAAATTTCATCAAAATCCCTCCTGTGGTTTTTCTGTGATGTGGTAACAGACAGACAGACAAAAATTCTATAAACTATAGATTCGGCCTCTGTATCGATATTAATGTTTATTTTAGTAAGATTTTCCAAATAATATCTAATTTACAGATTCGGCTTAGTTAGGTACAATTTTATTATATGTATAGATTATTTACATAGTGACTTTGCATGTCTGAAAAAAATTGAGTAGTTTTCGAAAGGCTAGAGTGAAGTCTTCCAACTCGCATGTATGCTGGCCTAGTGACACATCGAAAATAGGCCTTTGCCTAGCAGTAGAAAGAGTCCCAACGGGTTTTTACTGAGTTCTTACTTGATATTGAAGTCTTGATTATGTTACTGTTTGTTGAAAAAGTTAAGGCTAATTATAATTTATAATAATTATGTTGCTTATTCTCTATATTTCAAACCCCTATATAATAAAGCTTTATACGTGTTTGGAAAATGGAATCAAAAACCATTGCAAGAAAACTATTCTGATAGTATTTAATGTGTATTTTTACGTATGTACGATGTCTAATGTATACGCACTTACGTCATAAAATATATCTATACAACATATAATAAAATTGTAACTAAGCCGAATCTGTACATTAGTTTTTTTGGAAAATGTTATTGAACCAAAACACACACATTTTAACATTATTATCGATACAGAGGCCGAATATAAGGTTTTTAGAATTTCTGTCTGTCTGTCTGTCTCTGTTACCACATCACAGAAAAACCACTGGAAGGATTTTGATGAAATTTGGTATAGTGATAGCTGGTTATCCGGTTAAACATATAGGATACTTTTTACCGCGGGAAAATATCTCATTTCTGAGAAAAAATACAAAAACTGCAATGTAAGAGTATATTAATATGTAAGAGTATATTAATATGTAAGAGTATATTAATATGTAAAACATAAGAATTTGGTTTTTGGTCATCTGAACGCGGGCGGAGCCGCGGGCAATGCTAGTTTTTTATATTTTTCTAGTACTAATCCATAGTACAATGTATTTTTGGTCCATTGCCTAGGTATTAACTTGTCGGGAGGGCAAAAGCAACGGGTGTCGCTCGCGCGCGCCGTCTACTGTGATTCGGACAGCTACTTTCTAGACGACCCCCTCAGTGCCGTCGACTCTCATGTCGGCAAACACATTTTCGAAAAGGTATTTATTAAAACATTAAAATACTTAATAATTTACATTTAAAATATACCATGTCAGTATTTTCTACAAATGTTATAACTTTTAAGTCAATTTAGTCACCTTATATGTATACGATTCTTCGTGTAAATCGGTTAAGTATCTGGGCGACCGAGCTTCGCTCGGTGTTTTTGGCCAAAAGTACAACTTTGTGCTTAACTTTGTGCTTAAAAACAAAAAAAGCTAAACACTTGAATAAATACAAAAAAAAACAAAAGCAAAAACTTTGTATCCGACCGAGATTCGATCCCGGACGCCTCTGATTGTCAATCTTGCGCCTTGGCCGCTTGACCACGATACCCGAGCGTGCGAAATTAGCGACCATATTTTGTGAGGAATAATGCGAAGGAAAACCGCTTGAAACCGCATAAGATTATTCTGAATCGATTTTTCACCGCAGAAAACCCCCACATACCAAATTTTAGCGAATTCGTTAGAGCCGTTTCCGAGATCGCCGGTATATAAATAAATATACAAGAATTGCTCGTTTAAAGGTATTAGATATTGTCCTCCTGACCAATTTCAGCCAAGGCAATCTCAATAAGACTAGCCAACTACCCAGGAGATATAAGTATTGCATTCTCTATATTGTCACTTTTGAACTCCGGCAACTACAATTCTACACTCGTGGGGAGAGGTCAGGCGCAGAACCAAGGCTTTACGTGCTCTCTGATGCACCGGGGTGACACACCGCTAACACTGAACTCCTCGCTGTTAATGAGAAATTTTGAAAAAAAAAAAACCTCAGTAGGTAACTAATCTTCGCTCGACTCGGGTCTCGAACCCAGAACCTCCGGATCTGCCACTAGATCATAAAAAATTTGAGATAATAGACCTTTCAATGAAAATTATTTTGAAGGGTATACAATGAGTAGTTTTTAGATATGGGGTAATATTGTCATTTTGAATGTAGGTAATAGGTCCAAGCGGTCTATTGAAAAACAAAACTCGCGTATGGGTCACCCACAACGTGTCGTACCTGGCCCAAACCGACCACATCCTCGTGCTGAGGGACGGCGAGGTGTCGGAGGAAGGCACGTACCAGCAGCTGTTGGAGAAGAAGGGAGCCTTCGCTGAGTTCTTGTTGCATCACTTGAGTGATGCGGAACGCACTTCTCCTGAAGGTGAGATAAAGTATTATCTATAAATCTATACATATAATAAAATTGTAGAGGTCAAATGTCTGTACATACAAAAAATTGCTAAAACCCGAGTTAGGGGGTTGTAAGAAGAGAAATAAAACAAATTCAGTTTTTTTTTTCAATTTTTTTTTTCTCTGTCTGTTTGTACGGGCTAATCTCCGAAACTGTTGGACCGATTTAAATGAAACTTTTGGTACCTTATATCTCCGGTCAACATTTTAGATAGTTTTCATCCCAAAAAATTAAAGAGTTCCCTGGGATAGTTAAAAAACTATAGTAATTTATACAGCTTAGTACACAAAAACTACTGATTGGATTTTAATGGAACTTTACAATAATATAGGTCATAAATCGGAATAACAAATAGGCTACTTTTTATCCCGGAAAAATGTACGGTTCCCGTGACATAGATTTATTTTTGTTTGTCTAGAGGCGAACCCGAGCGAAGCGATGGTGTGCCGCTAGTCTTACATTATATTACATTGTCAGAGATGCCATATTCTCTTGTGTAATTGAAATAATTATCGCTTAAAAAAACTCTTCACCAAGTCTCTGGCTATTAAGGGTCTCGTTAGAATGAATCTAATTAGCTCATACTCGAAAATAGTGACCTTTGAAGAGTTTTACTATCCACCACTTGACCCCATTTATCAACTTATTATATTTCCATTCGGATATATCAGTAGTAAAAAGTAGGTTAAAATCGATTTTCAAGATTTGGTTTCGTAGTTAGTTGCAATTGAAACTGATTTTGACATAGTTTTAGATTTGCTTTTTATGTAAAAAAATATTTACTCAAATACTATTTTCCTAGGGGTTTCAAGAGTTTTGTTTTTTTTTTAATTTGGGACTAGTTTAGTTGGTAATTTTAGATACTTTAAGCCTCGAAATTAACGCTGAAAATCTAAAAATCTCTAAAATCTTTTTTGAATTATCTTCTTTTGAATTATCTAAAAATCTTTTTTGAATTATCTTGTTAAATGTAAAAAATATTACGCGCATTAGATACTACTATACAAGCCTAACCTAAAAAAATTGTTACTAACGTTGTAAACTACATAATTTCCTAAGAATATTGGTAATTGCCATGTTACTGAGGGTAATAATAATAACTCTTCATTGCATACACAAAAAGGAGACAAAAACAATATAATGATAAGAAAGTGCACAAGAGGCGGCCTTATCGCAAAAACAGCGTTTCCTTCCAGGCAACCTTTAAGTGTAGGAAATAGCAAAGCGTGAAGTGGAAGGGGTGTGAACACAGCTATAAATAAAATGATATATACGTATATATATTATCATATGTATACATATGTATACATATGATAATATATATACGTATATAAAAAAATATTACTATAATATAATAATAGGATACTTTTATTATATAGAAAAAATTAACAACCAATTTATAATTATTTTTAGAACTAGATGAAATTAAGCAAGATTTGGAAATCAAATTGGGTACCGAGTTCCAAAACAAACTGCAGAGAGCTCGTTCACTGTCTGAGAGCACGTCTGAGTCGGAACAACCTGCAGCGGGTAAGGCGTCTTATTTATTGAACCTCAAACAAACCATATAATTTCACTAATTCTGCTAACTAATCTTGAGAAACTGAGGGAAGCGGGAAGTATTATAAATGTGAAATGTTTATATATGTTTGTTGCTCCTTCACGGCTCTGGCTCGGATCTGATCGAATCGGCTGGACGGGTTTGGATGACAAGCTAGTATTAGTGACTTCAAGACAAAAGTCACTAGTGTATAATACTAATATGGTTTGTTACTGTGAGACATTGAGGCAGCTCAACGGATTTGAGACGTTGTCAATGAACGAATGGAAATAATTTATACTTGGGCATTAGGTTTGTAGGGACAGATATAAATATAAGATGTACCTCGTAGGGACTACCACGCAAGCGAAGCCGCTGGCATAAATTAGTTATTTTATAAACTTTTGAATACTTAAGCATAACCTATCATTTCATTAAGCCATTTCGAAATATATTATTTACTTTACAGTAATTTTCATGAGCAATAAAAACTATTAATAAATTAAAACATTTTTAACCGACTTCCAAAAACGAGGAGGTTCTCAATTCGTCGGAATCTTTTTTATGTATGTTCACTGATTACTGGAAGACGCCTGAACCGATTTGGAAAAATTTTTTACACCGACTTCGAAAATATCTGATTAGGTATCTATTCTAAATGAAAACCCCAGTTTAGTTATTTTTTACATTTTAGTTTTTTTTTTTAAGTTTTTATAATACGTTCTTCATGGTCTCTCTTTTTTATATAAAGCATATATTTTCATATTCTGAAAGTACCTACTCGATAAAAATATATATTTTGCCATTAATTATTATTTAATCGTCAATTTTTATAACGGATTATTATATGGCTACAGGCTATATTCATTGATACCTGAGACAAGAACAAAAAAGTTTTCGCGGGATGGAAATTTATGTGAAAAAAAAATACTATCAGAACTATTAGTGGAATTATGCGAGATAAGATAATGTATGTACAACCTGCCAAAAACCAATGTAATGCATTAAACACCAAGGCTTTCGAAAAGCTTGGTATAATTTTGGTCCATACTAATACTATTATTGGGAAAAGTGTATCTGTTTGTCTTTTTTGTCTCGTTTTTCGGTCTAAATAAAGAGAAGTAAGTAGGCTAATTTTCATCCCGAAAGCGCATTTCATAAAGAAAGAGTTTCGCTATAATAATAATTGATAGAAGTTACAATTACATAATTTGTATGTAATTAGTATTAGAATACAATTTGTTGGTTGGGATTACGAGTACCGTATTTATTATATGCACATATAATATGTACATATAATAAAATTGTAACTGAGTCGAATCTATACATTATATAGACATTCTTATTGAAATAGTCATTATTATCGATACAGACGCCGAATCTATAGTTTTTAAATTTATTGTCTGTCTGTCTGTATTGAATGAACAAATGAATGAATTCATTTGAAATGTGACTACTACTATGTGGCATTTAAGTGTGGAATACCAATATGAATTTGATACGAAAATATTAACTTAACCTATTTTCCTCTTAAGTATGCTAATGCGAATGGAGGTATAGATTTATACATTACATAATAAGGTATTTTATGTTTTATTCAATTCTAAAGCTGGCGATCGAAGTGGCAGCGTGAAGAGACGCACTCCCGAAAAGGACAAACTCATAGAAGTCGAGAAGACTGAGACTGGCAGCGTGAGTACTTCCTACGTTTTATACTTACTGTATACACTATTTTATTCATTGTATACCGTTACCGATTAAATCAGATTTAATATGAATAGTTCAAACATTCGGCTAATATTTCGCCTTTCGGTTACATTCTTTATCAATGTTTGTACACATTATTATTTACTGTTGTACTTTGTACAATTTCAATGCAATTGCACGTGACAATATTTTAGGCAATATGAGTAAAATAAAAATAACGTCTGGAAATTTTGTTCTCAACACAGCAATAAATGTCGCATATCATAATAAATAATTATATGAAGAGTGACATGCATTGGTCCATCAAGCTGTAAAACAGTTTCTCTATTATATATTTCACTCACTCACCCTTGCTTCGCTCGTATTCGTCCCTAGGTACGTTTTAATTTTTTTAAGTGGAACCCTAATTCTTTTTCTAAAATAAAAGTAGCCTATGTTACTCCCTATAACATCAGCTATCTTCCAGTGAAAGTCTCGTCAAAATCAGTCTAGCCGTTTCAAAGATTATCAACAAACAGACAGTACCGTATATAATTTCTTATGCATTTAGTAAAATGCTGTTATTTTGACATTATAAACAGACACTTTATTTTATTTATCTGTATAGTTTTTTTTTAAAAGGTTAGCTGTAAAGGGATAATAATAAAACTAACAACAGTGTTAACCAGTAACGTGTACATATTATGTCGTGTCCGGTGCAGGTGAAGTGGAGCGTGTACAAGCACTACCTGACGAGCGTGGGCGTGACGGCGTCGGCCGTCACCGTGCTCATGAACCTCGTGCTGCAGCTGTTCCAGGTCGGCTCCAACTACTGGCTCGCCGAGTGGTCCAACGACGAGCACATGGTAAGTTACCATCTGTCGACACTATCCATACTAATATTATAAATGTGAAAGATAAGTGTATTTGTTTGTTTGTCCTTCTTTTACGTCCAAACGGCTTGGCGGATTGGCGTGATTTCTGGTGTGGAGATAGTTGGAGGGATGGAGAGTGACATAGGTTACTTTTTATCGCGGTAACTTAATATCCACAGAAAAACACTTTATAATATAATCCAAAAAAATATTTACGATCAGAATTACTTGAAACTTAGTATTAATGTTCTTAAATAAAATTAAATAAATACGTGTTTAAGCATTTTTCGAAATTCATCCTATAAGGGGATTAATGTTTGTATGAAACTACCTTTTTAGTGATTTTTTGTAGTTTTAGCGCGAGCGAAGCCGCGAGTTCTGATAGTATAATTAGTTTAAAAAAATATTAAAAAACTCGCTCTTGACGAATTTTAATGTATTTGGAAATGTTAAAACAAACCAAATGAGCCCACGAGATTTTACTAGAAGTCATTGAAGTGTTCTAGTACACCTCCTGGTTCTATCAAAAGATCAGCTCCGAATTAATAATTTGGTTTGCGGATATACTGGCGGGTGTGATTGTGTGAGTAACATTGGCGTTAATTTGAGACCAAGAATTGAATCAACGTGAAGTTTTGAATCGGTGTACCTTAGGATCATGTCTTAAATATTTCTATTTAGTGTTCATTTAGCGTGTGTGTTTATTTATATTTATCCATATAATTGTACCTTTGTAAATTATTAGTATAAATTTAAATTTAAGAAATAATTAAAATATAATATTAAATAAAATGTAATACATTGTACCCCATTATCTTGTAGATATATATATAAATAAGATAAATAAATAAAAATATATAAATAGTTTATAAGACGTCCATATAATGGATATACGTTAAGAAATATTTATGGATGGTTTTTCTTGTTTTTTTCTGACACAGAATAGCAATATATAACTACAATTAAACTAAAATTGTTGTTTAATTCGAACAGTAAACAACTTTGCTTGTTGCATAGTTTTTACAACCAGTAAACCTTAAGGACCAGTACCTTAAGGAGAAACTAATAACAGTTCTTACAATTATTTGATGTTATCATTGAATACAAAATAAAATATAATGACATTTCATAATCAACGTCTACCTAATTTTTATTGGAATTGAAACCGCGATATGGCAATTATTTATATTTTTATTTAATAACTCTTTTAGTAATCTAATATAAAATATTAATTAAAATACTAATTTATATAATTAATTAATTGTGTGTCTGTTGTTCACACGTGAGTCGCCGACATTTTTTTTTCGAAGTGTCGCACCGGTTTTTTTCCAACAGCATAACATAAACAAAAATGTATAAATTCAAATTGAGTGCATCCCCTTTTTTGAAGTTGGTCAATAATGAAATATTTGATATTGTTAATTGCAGTTAGTTAACGGTACTGTGGACAAGAGCAGGAGGGACCTTTATCTGGGAGTGTACGGTGGCCTCGGCGTTGGACAAGGTAATATAGTAACACTATACAGAATATAGTTATTATTATTTTATGATAAATTCCCTAGTTTTTCACAGTTTACATTGTTAATAACAAGTTACGTTATATCTACTGACTTAACTGAAATGTTATTTTTGACAGTTATTATAGGGGGAATAAACATTGTAATATTTATATGTAAATATCTACACAAGATATCACCATATATTACTCTCATAACAGTTATTTCGCGTGTTAAGAAGAATGATAATATTGAAGTGAAACTTCTTTAGGATCGTTGTGGTTTGAAACTCAATGAAACGATAATGCGTCACGACAAGGAGACAAACACATAAATATATAGGATTAAGCCGGCGAGAGAATGAGATAGAATACATTACACAGGAACTGAAAAATAATACTGAATGATATGTGTTAAATAAAATGTAAAATAACTCTTAAACTTAGTAAAAATATTATAAATTGATATATGTATATCTATATGTATATATGTTCATCTCATTCTCTCGTCGGTAACTTTTCTGAAGTTTCACTTCTACCGTGAGTTAATGCACACACACGCACATACTTTTGTTATAAACATATTTTTTTTATAAAACAATACATGAACAATTACTTCAGTTACTTGACCACTACAACTCGTACTACTTTTTTTTCGGTGTCGGATCAGTTTAAATATTTGACAATATATTTTTCGATTCTATAAAAAAGTAGTGTAATGAATACATTCTTTACAAATGCTGTTTCTTGAGCTAATTTTATATTTATTAAATTAATATGTATAATTATACTAATTACGTACTACGTGGGTTCGGCAACTAACCATTGCATGTTTTATAAATAATATTATCTATATTTATATTTTACAATTTGCATGTAATTCGATATTTACTTAATTTTATTATTTGTAGTTATTTTTCTTTTTATTATATTTGAATTGCATGATCCGTATCGTAACATGATATTGTAAAAGTGACTAAAATAAACGTAGTGATTTCTATTATAACTCATAATGTCAGTGTGGGCTCTCCGTGAAGATCAAACCACTGAATGTATAAATATAACGCGCCAATTGACCTAAGTAATTATTATTGTATAAGTACTTGATATTCTTATATATTCATACAATATATCAAAAATGTGACAATTTGGTGAGATATATAAGAAACAAAAAGTCTTGGTAATTATTTTAAAATGAAAAAGTAAAAAGAACTAACTCGATATTGATATAACTTTGTAAATAATATCTTAATATTATGAATGAGTGAAAAGTATGGCATGTTTGAAAGTAAGAGTACAACTGAAAGGAAAGTAGAGTTGTGTTAATCAATAACATTCATTTTGAATTTTTATCCATTTTTTATTAAATAAACAATTACTTTTGGTCATCCTAATGAAATAAACTGTGAAAGTTTACTCTTCCTGGCGAGAGCGAGCACAGTATAAAAATCCATAGAGTAGGCGATCGTTTTTATATTTTAACGGAAATGATGTCAAACGCAGAGGTTGTCAAAAATTGTCAATTTTCATGATATCGTGGTGGAACGGTTTCGAGGTTAAACCGATGTCGTACGCTACCGATGCCCCGACTCTAAAGTCGTTTCTCCAATCTATACTATTATGAAAAAGATATTATATAAAATTGGGTATAGGGGGAAATCTCTAGAATTATACATAATAAATCTTACTCTAAAATTTCTTTTACTTATATAAAGCTACCTTGCCGAAGCGAGTATAAAAGTAAGTATGACAGTCGGTATCATATAATTCGTGTGTCACCTCATCTCACGATTGCCCTGTCTAGTTGCCTTCGTTAAAGGACTGTATGAACTGGTGGACTGTGTGCAGTAGACGTTGCTTCGTGTCTAAAGGCGAGTAGTATTAGAATGTGGATAAGTTAAAAATAAAGTCTCTTAAATGATTTCGTCCACGGCGGCCGGTCTCACTGAGACTTCAGACTAGCCATCTGCGCAATAGATATTGCATAAGTGTACGCGCAGACACAATGCTCTTTCTAAACCTTACACTCCCAAATTTCAATTGGGTGACAATTCAACACGATCGGCGAGAGATCAGGTGTAGGACGGGTTGTACGTGCTTTCCGAGGCTTGGGGGAAAACACTCGTCGCCTTCCCAACTTCGGGCCGTTACTGAGACTTTCTTAACAGTAAAAGTCAGTAACTTAACTCGGCCCAACCGGGTACTCGAACTCATGACCTCCGGAGCCGGAACCGCCGGGGCGGTAGGGTAGGATGAGTAGAGTGGATAAGTAAGTAGAGTGTGAGTGGTGTCCCAGTGGTGTCGGTGTCGGTGTCGTCGCTGGCGCTGTACCTGGGCTCGCTGGCGGCGGCGCGCGCGCTGCACGCGGGGCTGCTGGCCGGCGTGCTGCGTGCGCCCAGCATCGGCTTCTTCGACTGCACGCCCGTGGGCCGCGTGCTCAACCGCTTCAGCAAGGACGTGGACGTGCTCGACAACGTGCTGCCCATGACGCTGCGCGGGTGGACCTCGTGCTTCTTTTCGGTACCGTCCACCACCGCCTACAGAGATACTGTACTGTAAAATATTATTAGAGATGCGCGGCATATAGGTTTAGCCGAATCCGAATATTCGCTCTGAAATGCACCGAATTGAATATTCGGCCGAATAATTCGGTTAATTTTTGCACAGTAGCAGGTTAGTATAGTTGAATTGATTTTGTTGATTTGATTTAATTAACAGAATATTGGGCCGAACGCGAACATAAAAAATAAGCCGAATATACCGAATGCGAATATTCAGCCTAACAGTCGGCGCATCTCTACATATTATCTACATAATATGTATTTATATATATGAACTTCGAATTACGGATTTTTAAGAATAATTTGAATGATTCTGGTATTACCATAACCAGAACCTACATCTGTAGATGAGTTTTTCATATTTTTATGTCAGTCATAATAATCCGATAATTCGAAGTGCGTTACTGTCTTATAATAGCGCATGAGTATTTGATTTTTTAAATTGAATTGTATTTGCAAAAATTTTTTATATGTAACACTTCCGAATCTTGACTTTCGCCTCGTCTCAGTCTTCGCTATACGTGTTTAAATGAATGTAACTATAATGCCTGATTTCTTTTACATTTCATTTAAATTTAACAGTTGCGTACTCTTTATTTGCCGAGCTTTAAGATTATTACCATTCAATGTATTTTGTATTCATTAATAATAACAAAAATTGACGGTTAAGATTTGTAAGTGACTACTTCTGTATGCTGTACTCTTATTAACATATATTGTTTACGTAAAATAAAGCAAACATATTTGCAAAACTGTATTTGGGATCAGTTTATTGTAATGCGATTTATTAAGCATTTCTTTCTCGTCCGCTCTCCAGCCTCCATTCTTTCATAGCTCCCTGTACCTTTAGAATATCAGACTGAGTACTAAACTGTTGACTTGCTTGCTTTATCCCAACGCCTAAGTAGTCGTCACTTTTGTAGAGCATGTGGTGTTATAGCGAGTCTAGCTCACCGTCGCACCGCGTCTATCGCCTTCGAGCCGCTACCGCCGATACGTATAAGTAGCATTATTAACAGTGCTCACACGCACTGGGCGTAAACAATGTATTCATTATAAACACAGCAAACGGTGTCGTGTACGTTAATGTTGATCATCGTGGACGTTGTTACAGCGATAGCGTCATTTTTCGCGGATTTAATGCCATTTCTGGCGTGCTGGCGGGCGGCGCGGGTTCTGCACCAGATCTTACTGGACAATGTACTAAAAGCGCCATTACAATTCTTCGAAGTGACTCCCGTCGGCCGGATACTGTCTAGGTTTTCGAAAGACGTGGACGTCGTGGACACGTCGCTCCCCTCGCAGGCTTCTGACGTGATATATTGTGCGTTCGAGGTAATTCTATTCTGATACCGCGTTTTCTTTTGGTAGGTACTTCATTATGTTATCTTTGGTTCGTTTCAGTTGAATTTAAGTATTTTATTTTAATTATCCTACTATAAATAGTAGATTACGACTTTTTTTTAAATTAATATTTACATTTTTTGCGAATTATCTTGCGTAACAGTTAAATAATGTTACAAAATAAAGATAGATTATTTAAAAACGCTACTGCGTTTTTCTATTCGATTGATCGGAAAATTTCGTGTTCCCCCTAATATTTCTTGTTTTATTATTAACGTTCTTATACACACTTCTGTTAACCGTTCTTGCTTTCAGCTTCCTGTTTGCCTTTTCTTTTATGTGCTTTTTATTCTTTCAAAATACTCGCTACTTATGATGTAACTTCATCATTCATGAAATATTCTACATTGTGTATTGTTTACGCAAATATATATGTCAAAATTATTAATCAGGTATAAACTGATCCCAGAGAAAATCACGTTCACAATTTAATCGCACTGCTTAAAAGCCAACTCACGCAAGGTCACTAAAAATAACGCTTATCTAAAAGTGCAGCATTCAAATGTAACTAAAAACTGACTAATGTTGTAAAATCGTGTATAGATATTATAATATTCCTCAATTCCACACAGGTTCTCGGTACTTTATTCGTGATAAGTTTCTCGACACCGATATTTTTGGCTGTAATATTGCCAATCGGCGTCATATACTACATCATACAGCGCTTCTACGTTGCTTCTTCGCGTCAGCTTAAACGACTCGAGTCAGTGTCGAGGTCTCCAATATACTCGCACTTTGGAGAAAGTATCACTGGAGCCACTACGATCCGGGCCTATGGCGTCGCACAGAGGTATATGGAATAAAGTTTCAAATTTTAACCACTGCATACATACATTTCTTCAATATAATCGGTATCAAATGATTTTTGGTTACCGACGTTTTGATTGCTTTATAAAAAAGATGGTCCAGAGAGACAGAAAAAATCAATGAAAAATTACAAAAAATTGTGGCATTTCTTTAATAATAGTAAATTATATAAAACAAAATTAATTAACAGTGATTTTTATTTACTGCTATTTTCTGACCCAAAAGTTATGATTTAAATCACAACAATACTTTAAACTTTAGTATACTCGTACATACATATAATAAAAATAATCTATACAGATAAATAAAATTGAAGTGTCTGTTTGTAATATCAAAATATACGAAATGCATATGGAATTTTATACGGTATTTATAAGAAAAACACAATTTTTTAAATTTTTGTCTGTCTGTTTGTTTATTCCGGCTAATCTCCGAATCGGCTAGGCCATTTTGACGGAACTTTCACTGGCAGGTAGTTGATATTATAAGGACTAACTTGGACTACTTTTATTTCATTAAAAGAATTAGGGTTCCACTCAAAAAAATCAAAATGTACACGAGCGAAGCGAGGGTGAGTCGCTAGTTTTAAATAATATCCTTTACATAATGTCCTAACCTAACACAAATGCAACAGATTCATAGAGGAGTCCGAGCGCGGAGTGGACCACAACCAGGCGTGCTACTACCCCAGCTGCGTGGCCAACCGCTGGCTGGCCATCCGCCTGGAGATGATCGGCAACCTCATCATCTTCTTCGCGGCGCTGTTCGCCGTGCTCGGCCGCGACACCATCAACGCCGGCCTCGTGGGCCTCTCCGTCAGCTACGCGCTGCAGGTACCTCTGCAAACATATTCATCTTGTATTTGGCCCTTTCTTTTTAACGTCCCGATTATAAAACTCTTTTATCCTCGAATTTAACGCGAGATTATACCATTCAAAATCAAAATTTAAATAAAATAAAAATACTACAAAATATAATTCAAAAAAGGCACGGATAAAAAATCTAGCGTTCGTTATACTTATTTAAAAAAAACTTCTTGAACTTATGTCACCTACGTGAGGTTGGACAGCACATTTCCACAATTCCTCTCCACAGTTTGTCATATCTGATCTTATTTATAAAAAATACGAAATCCAAAAATATATATATGTATTGAAAGATCATTATTACCACCTCTCCTATTGATAATGAATCAGAAAAGTATTTGTCAAAAATAAAAGAAACAAAAAGGATGTTGTTTTTATCCATATAGTATTATTTATGCGATACCAAGAAGTGCATAAAAACGAGAGTTTTAGTATCATATGGTACAAATTGTAAAAATGTATGAAAAAAAAATTACTGTATGAAATATGCGGTATTCTTTAAGACTGTAAATTCAACTTCATTAACATTTTAAATAATGACAGCATATGAAATTAATATTTTTCATTTGTAAAAGTATATAGTAATAGTGTTGCTTAGTAAGTTGTCCTTTTAAATAATACCAAACTAAATTAAAATTATTATCCTTAATTAATTTTACCTTTTTAATTACACATAGAACAATTATATGGCTTAAATAATTAATACTATATTTTATATTTATTCTTTATGGTTATAAATATAATAATGGCAACACTAAATATAGATTACTAATTAATATTTTTAAAATTGTAATAATTATAATAATAACAGCAAAAATTAAATAAATAATAAAACTAATTAAAATTATAAAAATGTATAAAGTTAAAAAATATTGTAAGGTAATTTTTGCAATTTTCATTTTGTTAATTGTGGGTAGGCTGTTTGTAACAACTATACCTTCAGGACATGTAACACCTCAGTCTCTCCCGTGACCATGGATGCTGTAAAGCATTCGAAACGTCGGGATCCAAAAATCAAAATAAATCAGCGAAATAATCCGAAAAGATTGTTTTATTTAAAATGTCAAATATTCGCGTAAATCTAAGAAAGTATCAACTTCATTAATATAAAATTATATACATTATATTAATATTCTTATTTTATTTAACTATAGGTCACGCAAACATTAAATTGGCTCGTGCGAATGACGTCGGAAGTGGAAACCAATATCGTAGCCGTTGAAAGGATAAAGGAATATGCTGAAGCTAAACAGGTTCATATCAGACTTTTTTTATTTTTATCGATAGGTTGGAAGTAGTTTTATTGATATAGCAAAAGCTTTATATCTACATTAATATTATAAAGAGGTAAAGTTTGTATGTAATGAGTAATCTCTGAAACTACTGAAACGATTTTAAAAAATCTTTCATCAATCGGAAATTATAATATCGCCGAGTGCTATAGTCTATTTTTAATTCAGATAAAATAATGTTTACTCTTAGAAATCAAAATAATTTTAATTGAAGACAAAAAAATGGCCGATGTGTTACGTTATTAGCTATCGTTAGGTACTTAGGTTCTTTCACGCACCCATACGGTTCCACGATGGCGAAGACGCCGCCGCAGTCTCCGAGTTATAAGAGAATTATCTTGAAAATACAGATTATTCATCGCGCTCCAAAGAGGACTTCACGAGTGCAATATCACCGGAAAACTACCTATTTGACGGAGAAAAACGTATTCAATGTGCGCACTTAATTCGTACAAACACGATCATACGTTTACGTTCGATAAAAATTCGTGTCCAAAGTGCGCGCGGCCTAATTCTTTTTCTAAAATAAAAGTAGCCTGTGTTACTCCCTATAACATCAGCTATCTTCCAGTGAAAGTCCCGTCAAAATCAGTCCAGCCGTTTCAGAGATTATCCAGAACAAGCAGAAAGACAGACAAAATTTTTAAAAATTGAGTTTTTCTCATAAGTACCTTATATAATTTCACATGTATTTAGTAAAAAGCTGTTATTTTGACATTACAGACAGACACTTCAATTTTATTTCGCTGTATAGATATGTATTTTACTAGCAACTTATCTCTGTTTGTGCATTATACATAGACTTTATGTGTGTGTGTGTGTGCAGGAGGCGGCGTGGACGGTGGGCGCGGGGCCGGGCGCCACGTGGCCGGAGACGGGCGCGCTGCAGCTGGAGCGCCTGTCGCTGGGCTACGGCGCGCGCGAGCCTGCGCTGCGCGACCTCACGTGCGCCGTGGCGCCGCGCGACAAGCTCGGCATCGTGGGCCGCACCGGCGCCGGCAAGTCCACGCTCACGCTCGGACTCTTCAGGTCACTCGCTCAAGAGCCCACTCATTCCTTCATCATTCACTCGCCCACCACATACTGAGTCTAGTGTTTCTTTTTTCTTTATTTACTTTTAGGCTATGAAATATATTAACCTGTACCACTGAGCATAAACAACTATACATACTCGTATGTATAGGTGGTGTTAGGCTTGGTTTCTTCAGGTAACTTATCACATTAAAACCTATGTTTTTTTAAGGCTGTGAAATTTATATGCATACCAAATATTTTTGTTATGCATACCATCTGAGTATAAACTACTGAAATTCGAATTAGGTTGTCATTTTTTCCACTAAGAAGACCCAGATGTTCATAAAGTCATAAAGACCACCATTACATCATACCACATCCTTTGTACATAATATATTTTCAAGATTTTAATTTATTCAATAAAAAACATAACACCTTTGTAAAAATCACTCGCATATCTCCTTTATATATGTTTATAATTATCTGCATCTGATAACAAAAACATGAAATCATATATCTCAATCAATCGTATCTGTAGAGTTGATGCAGTCATTTATAATATCTATTTGACGGCAAAGTTGTTTGATACACATAAATATATTTTTCTTCATATATTTTTCTATATTTTCAAAAGACAATTCAAAAAACTGATTGCGTATATATATGAATATAACAAAACTGACTGTATGTTTGTGTTGTACACAACAACAGGATAGTAGAAGCGATGAGCGGCAAGATCCTGATCGACGGCATCGACATCTCCACGATCGGGCTGCACCAGCTACGCTCGCGCATCACCATCATCCCGCAGGACCCGGTGCTGTTCTCGGGCTCGCTGCGCATGAACCTCGACCCTTTCGGTGTGTACTCGGACGAGGACATCTGGCGGTCGCTCGAGCTGGCGCACTTGAAGTCCTTCGTGCAAGGTATATAGCGTAACATTCCAAGTGTCCGGCCTCTTAAGTCATTGTTGACTTATTTCTGTTATAAATAGAATCTTTCGGTGATTTTGCGCATTAGTTTTTTTAGATTAAAAATAATAAATTATATTGAAAAGTATTTTATTTTCTTTAAAAAACGATCTGAATATTTTTTTACTATGTTATATTTATTTCCTTTGATAAACCATCTTTTCATACATATTTTCCATACAAAATAGTTTCGATGTTTTTATTCTGCCAGGCGTCCCGCAACGGCTATATTTTTATTTTCGAAAATGTTATATTTATATAACTCATAGACGGTTTAATTAAAATTTCACATAAAAAATTAGAGAAGCGCAAATCTTGATATGCGATGTTGACAAAGTAGCGTATAACTCAACAACTCATTTTTGAAAACCTATCCAAAGATTAGGTACAAAATACAGGTTTATATTAAGTGTACTCAATAATTTCTTTTGTTAGTCTTAAACTTTAACTTCTTATTGTTAGTTACATATTTTTCGTCATTTCACTATTGCCTTGCATGAGAGCCTGTAGATAATAATGAATATTTACCGTATTATTTATTATCTACAGGCGTCTCCCAACCTATTTTAACACATTATAGTGGTTGATTATGAATGATTTGTGTGTATGTATATAACGTCGTTGTGTCGTGGCAGGTCTGCAAGCCGGGCTGCTGCACGAGATCTCCGAGGGCGGCGAGAACCTGTCCGTGGGACAACGCCAGCTGGTGTGCCTGGCGCGCGCGCTGCTGCGCAAGACGCCGCTGCTGGTGCTGGACGAGGCCACCGCCGCCGTCGACCTCGAGACCGATGAGCTCATACAGGTACACTTGACATCCGCACCTGCCTTTTTTTATAGAAAAAAGGGGGAAACGAGCAAACGATCCACCTGATGGTAAGTGGCTATCGCCGCTCATAGACATCTGCAACACAATAGGAGTTGCGAATGCGAATGCGACCTGAAAACGCGGCTCTTGAAGACCCCCGTGTTATAGCGCTCAGGGAAAACCTCAGGAGGAAGTTTTTTCCACATTTTGCACGTGCGAGGTAGAAAAGAACGAGATGCACGTACAATTGTAGGATGCCAAGCATCTAAAATGTGTGGATGACATCCAATCCGACGGCGAAGGGTGCGATGATAGAAGCGTGACGGTGATGATGTCACCGGCCTCTTCTACTCGTGCGAATTAAGGACCGCTCCACACTATAGTGCCGATCTTCGATCAGATATCAGTCTGGTGCAGGCACGCACACACACGCGCGTGCGCATACACGTACATGCACACTTATTAACTATCGCATATATTTTTGTAGATCTGGTCCGAGTCCATTATTTATGATTACATTTTGTATTTCAGAAAACGATAAGAACAGAGTTCGCATCATGCACAGTGCTCACGATCGCGCACCGACTGAACACTATCATGGACTCCACCAAGGTGATGGTGCTGGACAAGGGGCAGCTGGTGGAGTACGCGCCGCCCGAGCAGCTGCTGCAGGACAAAAACTCCATCTTTTACGGCATGGCCAAGGACGCCGGGCTTGTCAATTAATATTATACAACAATCTTCAACTGAAGTCATCGCTGTTTACGAACTATAGTATGCGACACTATAAAACACGTTTTCTTATTTCTTTTCTGACATTTGTAGGTTTTAAAAAAGAAGTAATTTTGACATTTTACAAATGCCATCAGTAAGAAGAGCTGCCAACGTTCTTTGTACATTATAGTTAGGCTCGCTCAAGCAATAAAGTGCGATGTGCCTTTATATATTTATTTTAAATAATTTGAGAGTTTGCGTAAAATAATAAATAGTAGAACATAGACATATAAGAGTGTTACGTGTGTTGTTAGTTGGCAGCTCTACTTATTAACGACATTGAATAGTTTATAAAAGTTACTAAAAGTTGGTGCATTTAGTGTAAACAACTTATACAAGAATACAACTTAAAATAGCATTTGAATTATTTGAATACATAGAATAAGGGTTGTCGTGATTGCGAGTTCTGTACTGCTTATATTTTAAAACACGTGTTCAGTAAGTGTTGTAGGTATTGTGTACATGCCGCTTGATTCGATATCAGTAGATCATATCAATGCCGCTATCTCCGTCGTGAAGTTGATCCAAGATGGTGCTAAAGGAATAAAATACCGAACTCATGCTTATAAAGTTCAGACTATGGAGGATCGAGGTAAGGAGAAATATATCTGTGATGAAAAAGTGTCCATCGAAAAGCGTTAAATTAGGGTGGCGCTACTGTAGCAAGTGGGTAAATTAAAAAAAAAGCGCTAAAGTTAGATTAGAGCAGCATTACATTTTTTCACAGGAATTTACTAAGTTATAATTTTGGACTAAGTAAATAGGTGAGGTTTTAGGAACTACTGTAGTCACCTAAAAATATTACATTTTTCTACTTGGCACACTCCACTCCATCTAAAACTGTTAAATTCATACCATCACACTCTGCATCTACGCAAGTGCCATTCTGGTAGGTTTTTGAATTGCTATTTACCACTTAAAGGTGGACACTTTATCATCTTGTCTCCCATATAAGATGGTTCTCCTTACGTCTACCCTCCATAGTTCTGATGTATATTATAAAATATATAGACAAGAGTGTACCGCTATCTTTAGTCAACTGTCATGTGCACGTATAGTATTCACTATCTACTAATAGTTATAATGTTTAATCTAGTTTATAAGAGAGCTGACTCATTAGTCTTTGATATCGGACGAGTTGGCATTTTGATGATAGTTTTCTATTTTGTCATTTTTATACACATTGTATATTAGTACTCAACTGCCTCGGTGGTGTAGTGGCTAGCATGTATGGCTGCACACTCGGAGGTCCTGGGTTCGAGTCCCGGGTCGGGCCAAGTTTAGTTATTGAGTCTTTCTGTATAGTAAGTCTCAGTAACAGCCCGGAGTTGGGAAGTTGGCGGTATTTCACCCCCGTGCCTCGGAGAGCACGTAAAGCCGTCGGTCCTGCGCCTTAACTCTCACTGGTCGACACGACTCTGTCTCGACACGAGCAGTCGTCCCACCGGAGTATGAGAGTGACAGGAATAGAGAGTGCACCTGTGTCTGCGCGTACACTTGTGCACTATAATATCTCCTGCGTAGTTGGCTAGTCTCAATGAGATTGGCCGCCGTGGCCAGAATCGGCTAGAAGAACATCATCATCATCATATTAGTATATGGTGTGGGGAAGTTAAGGGCCAATGTTATTTTGAATTTGGTCGAATTGTGCCAGGACTTGACTTAATTGAATCGCTCCTTTGCCATTATTATAGTTGATTAGAAAGCTTAAAAATTTTAATGTAAACATTTTTTTTTACGTTAAAGATTCTGTTATATCAAGCCTTACTCAATTTGAAGCAAACTATTGTTGATGGCAATAAACCACATACATAGTTACCACTCCGGACCGCCCATTATTTATTTTTATGTACATATTCTATTTAATCTCTTAATTAGAGTACTTAATTTTGAATTATATTAATATAGTATTTATAAAAATCTGTTGAAACTTAATAGTGCAGCAATCAATATTAATAATTTAAACTCTATTACTTGTATGCCTGATTATATCAGGTTTTAGATTTTATTATGTTTAATATCAATAATATCACTTATACACAGAGATTTTATTAGATATAAAGTAGTTTAAATGTCTACTCTATTTGTTTTAGTAGTTTGTACTTAACTATAAGCTTAAAAATTTCCACACTTTTGAAAGAACATATTTGATTATGGGGTTGGTACACATTTTAAAGATAATTATAATGTCCAATGGTGTCACACATTCTACTGTAATAAAGACAAACATGTGGCCAGTGACTTAAAATGTGAAAATCTCTACCTTAATTTATACTACTGAAGTAATACTGATTGTACAATCATTATTTTTTTACATTTTTTTTTCTCATTCTTCGTCTAGTGAATAAGTTTTTTTTTATCTCATGCCACCTTAATATTGTGAACTGTGAGTGTCGAAGTTATCTGCCCTGTGATTAAAGTTCAATTACTATGTGTCTAAATATGTGTGTACATAGTTTAATCATAAATACTATACTATATATACATAGCTCACGAGTTGATACATGCAATAAATAGATACATATAAAATGTTAAAAGTTTATATTAATGTTTCTGAATTTATTGTAATTTATTTTTAATTTCCATAGACAATTTTAGAATGTATTAATTATTATATAATTAATTAGGTACTTGGACATCTGCAAGATTTCAATATAACTTTTTGAAAATGATGCATTTCTGTCTACTTCAAGATACAAATTATAACACTTATATTAGCTATAGCATTTATAAAACAGACTTGACTTACTTTGTTTATGATTAAACTCACTGCTCAACTGTGTAAATTACCTCGGCCACTGGTGTTGTAAACTATATTCATAGCACAAACAAACTAACAAACAAATTACTGCAATCAAATATATCCCACATACATTTTAATGGTTTAAAACATCTGCCAAACAACAAAGTTATATGAAACGGACAAACTATAAGCATTTGAAAAGCTTCATATTATTAGGTTATTATGTACTTAATGGGTAACCATTATTGCATGATAAGATTGTATTGATTTATCTCTGCTAAGTTATAGATTTACGATTTAATATTTTGTAGCCTTAGATGTGTTATTAGGTTAAGTTACTGAGAAAATTTGTTTTATTAAAACAATACACTTAAAGGTATACTTATTAAAACAAATTAGGTGTTATGCCCAAGACATCGTATTATGTTTATAGTCGTGACATTGCAATGGTATGTATACATTTCTTTTTAAATTTATAATCAGAAATTATATTAAATAAACCATTTACTTAACTTCCGATATCTTACCTTATTTACACCACAACTTAGGTTTTAGTATTACACTAACAAGATATTATACTAATTCAGTATGCATATTATTTGGTTTAACAAAATACTTTTAAATAGGTATATTGAAATTATTATTTATTTATGAAGTAGTTTGAGATTCTTTAATCTTTCAATATTTTTTGAATAATGGTTACGTATGAATAATTGCTTGAGATTAAGCTCACTAATGGCCGCTTGAAACAAATTTCTCTAAATGTGGCATTTTCTCCCAATAATTGTTAATGCTAGTCCGTATTTATAGACCTTAGTTCGGCTCAAATATTCCAGTCGATAGTTTTAATTAATCCAGATGACGCATAAATTAAAAAAGACTATTTTAAATAACACAACCTGTAGTCTCATCGTGTGTATGGAACAACAATGGAGAAGTTTCATGATGTCATTAATGTCATAATAATAATTAAACCCAATTTATGTAACAAATTATATATTTATGTTCTTTTTTTTAATTATCAATAAATGGTAGAAACATGAACGAATTAACCAATTCGTCCATGGGTAGAAATTAATTTAAATTTCGGTCGTTTAAGTCGTGTGATTTCACGAAATTATTCTTTAAAGTGCAACTTTAAAGTTAGATAACTTTTTCATTTGTTAAGATATTTAAATAATTATTTCGTATTTTTGTTATATTTTGCTTAAATTTCAATATTTTATTTAATTATTTTTGTTAAATTTTTATAATCAATACATACAATACATATACAATATATATACATACAATCGATACAAATTTAAACTTCTCCAATCTTTAACTTAGATCAGATCATAGAGTATATTGCTACATCTATAAAGATCAGATAAATGCCCGTAGCAGATCCGGTGGCCCGTAGCGGCTTTTACTCTAAAACTAAATCTTGCCTTTTTATGACATAATTTTATATCGTAGGTATCTAACACACGTATATTTGTATCATAGGTATACGCGGGATATAATTAAAAATTAAATAATTAGTAAAAGTATATAATAAAGAATAATTGCAGAACTTCAGAGTTGATTACGAAAATTACGACTTACTGACTTAATACTTATTGTTATTTTAATTTTGATTTCCTATAAAACTATAAGTATTTTATCGATTAACATTAAATTTTGTTATAAAAAGTAATCACAATACAGGAATAAAATTATTTGTATTAAATAATTTTTTTATTTCCTTCTGAGATCCTTTCATTTATTTGCCTATGATCTTGTCCTGAGAAGTATTCTGTTTTGTTATGCTGTTCGTTGTTTTTATGTATAGATCAATAAATAAGTTTATAGGAGTTTAATCTATATGTTTGAATTTGATCGAAAGCTCCACATGCACAAACAAGTCTCTTTTAAATCTATTATAAAAAAATAAGGCAAGATACGGACAGAAAATTGTTTTAGATCATATAAAGGCTCACAGAAGAGTCCCTGGTGGAATGTCTCTCGATAAAACGTACCTAAGGACGCACCCGAGTGAAGCGAAGGTAATTCGCTAGCAATAAATAAAATTCAAATTACTTTATATAACCGACTTCCAAAAAGGATGAGGTTCTCGATTCGACGGAATCTTTTCTATTTTTACGATGGGCTCTAAGTTTTACCTGACTGCGGCGAAGCCCAAGGTTAAGAAAAGGAGGGTTATTTATGTGTTTACATTTACGTATATTGTACCTATATAATACGTCCGGTCATATGTTCTCTCGTAACTCCTAAACAGCAGAACCGATTTTAATGAATGATACGTCGTTAGATTTGTGTTGATAATTTTTGTACTTCAACATGAAAAGGCACACATGTGCGTATACATAAAATTACATTATTTATCTCTATGTTTTACATAACAAAAATCATAGACTGTTTGGCTGTTATCTTGTTTATAACTTGTTTTTAAATTAATTGTGAGGTAGACAACGACTATCTTTGAATAGTCCGACCCGACGGCGAAAAATATTGCATTATAAGATTACTCTTTGTAGTAAATATTATAATAATTACTATCCTAATAGTAGTTCATCAATATAATCTTGTTGCTACTCTGTAGAAATATATGGATTTTTAATCTACGTATTTTGATTGTCATTGTCAAATTGACAAGTGACAACTACACAAAAAATAAAAAATCAGCTGGGCTACTGGAAAACATTTGGAAAGCTGACATTTTTATTTTATTTGAATATTCCTAAATTTCAAAATTGTTATGAAAATCTCAATTGTTAATCGGGCCTTCCTGATAAAATTTGACACTAACAGATTGTTTTACGCATACATGCATGCAGGATAATAAAAATAATGTTATCAATATCACCATAGAAATAATTTAATTGAATTAGAATTTTGATTTGTATTTGTAAATAAGTAAATCCAATATCAATTAATTTTTAACTTGCTCATATTGAGTCAGTTATTCAGTGATAAATGTGACTACATATATTAACACAACTCATGATCAAATAATTATTTGTATCACAATCTTAAAAATCCAATTTTATAAAGTGTTAAATTTTATAATCTTAAATATAATTATATATTTGATACAGAAAATGGATATTTTATTCAATTTGCAATCTGAAAATGATTTCAAAACAGTAAGCTAGAACCCAAATGCAATTTTAATTAAAAGTTATTGAAAGAGACAATTACATAATCTTTTATTTTAGGTGGCTGAAGATATAGTCAATCACTTGTATACTGCACAAAGGGATTCAAGTGGGATACTGGATGAAAATACAATGATTACAGTTAAAGAAGAAATAAAGAATTTGCTTTTTGAATCTAATGTTAATGTAAAAAAGATTAATGATATACTTTCAGAAAAAAACTATGAAATTGAAAGAATCGGAATATTTTTATATTTAATTGAAAAGAACCAAGAGAAACTAATGTACTTAACATTAGTTAATCATAACAGTGCCTATGGTGAAGCACTAGAAAATTTTGATTGGGCATTAAAGCTGGTTCATGGAACAAGTGAGCTTAAGAAATTACATTATCCATTACTCCAAATTGTACTCACAAATATTCATAAGATGGAAAAGAAGCATAGAGTTTATGATGTTAGTAAAGATATGTTAGGTAAATTGATAGATGTTTTGGAAAACATAGATACATTTTAGTTATTTAACATTATTATGTTAACAAGATATATATAATAAAAAATAATTAAGTATTAATAATAGTTATTCATTTTAATCCATATTTTCCATCCATATTAAAATTATTCAAAAGATAATTTAATTAAATAATCGAAGCAGTATAAGTATTGGTTTTGAGCCGATTACATATTATTATATACTTAGTACCTGGGCTACCGAGCTTCGCTTGGAGTTTTTGGTCTAAAGAACAACTTTCTTTTTTTTTTAACTAAAAACTGTAATAAATATTGAAAAAGAAAAGTAAAAACTTTGTATGCGACCGAGATTCGAACCTGGACACCTGTGATTGTTGATCTTGCACCTTGGCCGCTTGACCACGATGCTTATGCCCGAACGTGCAAATTACCGATCATATTTTGCGTGGACTAATGCAAAAGAAAACACGCGTTTTCTCAGACAAGACTAATCTAGATCGATTCATCGCCCCCGAAACCCCGTGCGTACATTACGTAAATTACATGAAAATCGTTGGAGCCGTTTCCGAGATTCAGATTATATATGTACAAGAATTGCTCGTTTAAAGATATAAGATATTACACTTATAAAAACTTAAAAATAAAAAAACGACTTCCAGGCACTATAATGTAAAAAATAACTAAACGGCGATTTTTATTTAGAATAGATACCTAATCAGATATTTTTAAAGTCGGTGCCAGCCGACAATATTTTAAGATATGAATATCTAATAGGTAAATATGATTAGGTCTGAACTTTAATTATAGTTAAATTATTATACATCAATTTGTGATGTATTTCACGTAACGAAACATATTAGATTTGCTTTGTATCGGCTCTTGATGATCTTGATTTTGGTTTACCACCTTCTAGACACCACTAGTATTTTTTAAACGACTTCCAAAAAGAAGGAGGTTCTCAATTCGTCGGAATCTTTTGTTAAGTTTACATGAAGATATATCTATTGTAAATATTTTAAAATACAAATTATATACCAATATTAACAGGTACTCCAGGCTCCAGCGTACTGTCACACGTCACACTGATATTAGTTTTAAGGAATGTGCATATATTTTCTTCTTATATCAAATCACTGAAAAACTCATACACGCAAAGAAAAAATATTATTTAAATAATAATAAACTTTAAAGTGACTTTATTCATAACATAATATGTACATAAATTGTATGAGGTATATTTAAAAAAATAAAAAGCAAATTTATATTTTAAAATTTTTATTAATTAGAGACATTCACACATCAACATCAAATTTCTGGAAAATTGAACATGATAAATATATAAAAATGTTCAATTATCCAATTTAAACGACCATCATTAATCTATTACGTTTCTAAATAACATGAGCAGTCAAAGTACAAATTATTAAATTAATTTTTGCATCATATCATTAATATAAACATTTATCGAATTGGCACTTCTGCACAATTTGTTTGGTAAATGAAGCAGAGACGATTGGATCAATTGTTCAAGTGTTTGTGCAATATGTTAATAATAAAATCAGTATAAAAAATGTATAATTTTGAGCGAACACAAGTCTTAAAAACTAAATTGTTAGTTATATTTTAAGTTTATGAAAGTTACAAATTTATGGCTTATCCATTATAATCACAAAGTCTCATATAATAGCAGGTTTACATTCGAGTGCTGCAGACTGCAGCGGGCACTCGCGACACAATCGAAACTCTCCAACAACACCACACGCTATATGTAAATATATCGATGTAGGGAATGAATACATTGGGATATTCACAAGCTCTTTTGATATGGAATGTCTCACTCGTATTTATTTACTGCTAATTTATTTCGGGAGTATTTCTCCCTCCGTTCATGCAGATGTGTCACTTCAAAATTTCATTAAAAAATGTATAAAATTACAAAAATGGTTATGGAATAGGAAATAATTTCATCGGACACGATTATAGAATATGACATAATTGTAAAGAGATATCAAATCTTACATAGGTATATAGTCTAACGCGAGCAGGCAGCAATACCCGCTGCGCTCACTTCGCTAACTCGTTACAAATACTACACGTCTAAATAGTACATATAATCGATTGTAATTTGTATATGCATAAAAAATGTATAGAATAACTTGGCCACTGAATGATAAGTCCAATTTACATAAATTAGAATCTACTCCTAAGAGACCAATCCAAGATACATTTTGACAAAAAGGTTTCATAGTAATTGGCGCTAGCGACGTAGTGCTAACCACTTCGATTTGATAAAAAAAGAAACAAGTTTTACTAAATTGGAACATAAATATTGTTTAGATCCAGTATCTTCTTCACAATAATATAAAAGGGCTACTGCTCACTTGAAATGCATTTCAAATCAAAAAGAGAGCTTGAATTCAAACTAAATTTATACAACTTATTATAATTACAAGGAGCTGAATAACATAAGTGCATAAAATATACTTAAAAAATTAAATGAAATCATTTAGCTTTATATCACTTATAACAATATACAAATGCAATTTTAAACTTCAATTCGACAACAGAATTTAAGAAAATAAGTTTATGAAAACGTAATTATTCATATATACATAATAGTGTCTCATCATTAAAACCTATAATAATTTTATAATTTTTGAGTAATGTATAATAATATCGAGGTCGGGATCAAATGTTTCGAGCTTTCCGTCGGTAAAGCTGTGACACTATGAAACGACATCTCGTAGGTCGCGATATCAGATGGAGATGGCAAACATACCACCGCGGCACCGCGGAGCCCTACGAGTCGGATACGGATACCGGTAGGTTACTTTCAACTTCTTTGTTGAATTTAGTATTACTTAAAAGGGCCGGCAACCCGACTGTATTCTGTTCTACATTTTCGTAGAACACAAACTTTCATATTGAGACAAAATTTGTTAAATTCATAATATAATTTTCTATGAAAAGTCATCCAAAAGTGGTAAACAGCGTTCGCAAAGTATCCGAGGAGGGACGCAACTAATACCCCTGTAATCATGGCACCAACTTAACGCACCGTATACTGCTACATAACTTTGTTATCGTATATGATCGTACAAGATCCTAGCGAATTTAAAATATATGTATATAAAACCTTAATTTTACAAAAGCAAAGCACGCTAAACTTAATCTACACTAGTTCTGTGAGTGGTGTCGTGGCGGCGGCGCGGACTAGGCCCGGCGCGCGGCGCTGCTCGCTGCTCGGGAATAAATAATAGGCTCGTTGCAGACTGCGCCTAGTTGCGCACCGCCACGTCGCTCTGCGTCTCCTGCGGATACACAGTACACACGTACAGTGTCTTACTATCACTACATAGTATAAAACAAAGTCGCTTCCCGCTGTCTGTCTGTCCCTATGTATACTTAGATCTTTAAAACTACGCAACGGATTTTGATGCGGTTTTTTTTAATAGATAGTGATTCAAAAGGGAAGTTTATATGTATAATACATGCATATTATAGTACAGAATGACCGAGAAATTCAAAGATTTGTATTTCATACTAATCGTTAAAACGTACCTAGGGACGAACCCGACCGAAGCGAAGGTGAGAAGGCCAAACAAGTCGCTCACGTGTTACTCCTGGTCATAGTCTATCTGTACAGTATTCATCCAAATCCGTCCAGCCATTTCAGTGTGAGGAAATAACAAACATTCGCAATTATAATAATAGTAGTGATATGCGGTACTTTCGCCAACTATTAACGGGCTTCCATAATTTTTTAATAAATATGTTACATCTCCAGTTAGTTGAAATAGTTAACTGTTTAAGATAATATTTGAAATATCTAAAAGTAGTCTGTCTCACCAATTCAGTTTTCAGTTCTGGTACAGAAGGAACCTCAGGGATCAACTCAGCCAGTTTATCAGAAGCCGGAACAACTTCCTATAACACAATTAGCAATAATTAGATTAGTATATAAAATACATATAATTATTTCTAGCCTCTAGATAACTTTGTATAATACAAGGGTTAGTGTATATGTATGAAGAGCAATCGAAAAGATAGCACATCCAAGAAATATGATTATGTATAATGTGTGTATGTACAAACAATGCATTGACTTTTTACAAATGAAGGTATTAGCTTTTTTCTATTATAAACTACTTCTGCACTCATTATTAACATTTGTTATTATAAAATTTACCTGAATTTTAAACACTATAGACAAAAAAAAACCATTTTGCTTAAAATGAACAATGTCGATTTAGTGACGTGTTTTATACATAATTAGTAATGACTGATAAAAATTTGATTATTATTTTTTATAACGTATAAGTATGTCATATGTGTAAATAAAACATTAAAAAAATACTACATACTTAATGAAGTGATCTAAGTTAGCACAAGCCAAGAGACATGCGAGGATGATTCACTAAAGCCATAGGAAGGGGGACGAGTAGGGACAGGGGACGAGACGAGGTGGGCACGAGCTCCGGCGGCCGGCGGGTCACATGCTCAATCAGAATACTAATTACACGTTTCGACGCGCGTCGAACAGACACTAATCCTCTACTAGAGCAAGACCGGCGTAATCACCTGCGGCGTGTCCCGCGACGCGTCCCGCGCCTCGTCCCGCGGCGGGCCGGCGGGCTGCGGGCCGGCGTGCTCGCCGTTGGTCATCACTGCGACATCTTCCCTGCTCTCGTCCGTCTCCATTTCCGGGACGGATATCGGTTTCTTTAATAACTGTTCCGCGTCCACTTCAGGGACGCCGTTGGTTATCTTACTCGAATCGAACTCTGGACAGGATTCAACGACTGCTGGCGTCGCTTCGTCAGATTCTTTATCTTGTTCACCGTTTTCGATTATTTTCTCGTTTTCGCTCGGTTTTAAGTCATCAAATTTATTCACAGATGCGGCTTCATTTTGTTGCGTCGCATCATCGTCGACGGCGATTTCGATACATTCTAGATCAGAAACTCGAGGTTCTTCTGGTAGGTTAGTAGTGATCTCATCAACAATATTACTCTGCAGTAAATCATCGTCAGGGACAATATCATTAGTTGTCGGTAATTCAGTTACTTCAGCTCGGTCTTCGAGTAAAGAGGGCTCGGTGGGTTGTTCATCCACGTCCGTGATACTGATAGACGGCTGTAAAGGCATAACTTCTGCGTTCTGATTAATTACTGGGAGACTGCATTGATCTTCAATTGTATCAATAGGTTGTGTGTCGTCGGAGGCGGTGGAGGTGACGGGAAGGGGCGCGGGGTCGGCTGGTGCGGGGTCGGCAGGCACGAGGTCGGCTAGCACGGGGTCGGCAGGTGCGGGGTCCACAGGCGCTAGGTCGGCAGGGGCGGGGTCGGCAGGCGCGGGGTCGACGGGCTCAAGGGGCGCAGCCAGCTCAGGCGCCATGGTGGTGGCGGCAAAAGTCGCGACAGACGAGGGGGGAGGATTAGCAGGGAGTGGTGGAGGCGTAGGCTCAATTAAAGGCATTTTTTCAACACAAACCTCTTTTTCGACTGGAATTTCAGTTGTCGGAGCGGGCTCGGACTTTTCGACAATCGCCTCCTCCGGCTTGCTAGTCTCGCTCTGTACTGGCTCGGGGGACTCGGGGGTCTCACTCTTAGGTGCCTCTGTGGGGTGACCATTGGGTAATATTTCCGATACAGCTTCGACTTTAGGTTGCTCTGTCCTTTCAATTTCCTTGTTCTCGGCAACGGGCTCGTCCGGGATCAGAGTCTCTTCTTTTGGTGTCTCGGGTGTCGTGCTGCCGTTTGTGATGGGTTCAGTCACTGGTGTTTCTGGTGTCTTTTCGTCCTTAGCCTCAGCTTCGACCTTTTCTTCAGCTACTACGTCATTTTTCTCCAGCTCCGGGCTTGTTTCAGTAGTCTGAAAATAATATAATAATATAGTTTTATCTGTAATATGTGGCAGAGAGTAGGAGGCAGTGGTAGTTCAGTGGTAACGCGCTCGCTTGGGAAACCATGTGAAGCGGGTTCAAATCCCGGGTCTTGCACCCCTGATATTTTCATGTGCGAATCATTTCCAACATGATTACCACTTGTCTTAACAGTGAAGGAAAACCTGCATGTCTGAGAAAACCTAGCAAGTTTTCAAAAGACATGTGAAGGCCGCCAACCTTCACTTCACAAATGGCTATAGTTTAATGACAAGTTTGAAAAAGTATTGAATCTTCATTGTCTATAATATTACAATATGTATATATGTATTTACGACTGATACCTTATCGTCTGCCATAGTCACTGAACTTGTTCGTTAATGAAGCTGAATTAAATGAAAACGATATCGATTAAGGCACTGCATTTATATGCCACAAATTCGATATGGAAGACTGAACATATTTTTATGCCAGTTGTTATCCTTCAATGCATATTGTTAGCAGATCATTTACAACACGGGGTTATCACCTAGATTGAAAAATTATTTATATTGGTAAAGTAGATTATTATTCTGTTGTAAAATATTCTTTGATTTTTTTATGAAAAAGATGGGAAAAGCCAAACTCCGTCAAACGTTCAATTTTTTGTATTGTAACTTTCATTATTTACCTCACGTTAAAGTAAATCCATTACTTGCCCATATACAATATTCATTTTATTCATAGCATTAATAAATCCATGTGTATTTCGTTTATAAACAAACTTAATTTTACGGCCGCTAAACTAACAAAGATTGAAATCGAAAATATCCTAATCCTCAATGACAATATTTCGGGAGCTCTATTAACTCAAGCTGTTTCAGAAGTTTACATCTTTACTATATACTTCGAACTATAAGCTTAAATAAAAAAGATGTTTAGAAACATCTATCTCATTTTAGCCCTATACAAAAATGATCGGACGAGCTTATGGGCACTCACGTTTTTCTCACCCCTCTGTTACATGTATTAAGTGCCACCGCCATTTTTTTTATTTTAGTAATTTGACTACAAAATTGTCTTGTGATTCAAATAAGACAGCTACCTACTAAATTCCTAGTATAATTGTTATAAGTTATAATAAAAACTTATAATAAAATAAACTACGGAAGGATATCGTTTTTGCCTTAATATACATGATTTGGTGATGACACATCTACATTATATAAAAAAGTGGAACAAATTCTTATTTTAACTGTACTGTCTATTCTAATCGACTTTCAAAAAGGAGAAGGTTTAATGTACGTCTGTACATATTTTTTTATTTTATATTATAGGGAACGAATTATAAAACATTATCAAAACTAAATAAGAAATCGTACTTATATAAATAAGTTGTCTAAAATAAAAATTAAAAATATTCAAACATTCATTCATTCATAGGTTACTACCTAATGCGAATCTTTGTCCATCCAATTCCATACAAAATCACTAAATACTGTTATAATTATAGATTAATCTAATATATTGTCTTTCTAAAATACGCAACCGCAGAAATGTGGCAAGTATGAAATGATATGGATACCTGCAAGGCCATATTTGTTTACCGATATAGAATTCTGTGTCTAGGGGATTTCTGAATATGAAGTGAAATAAGACTAAATATAGTGCTACGATTTCACTTCAAGCTAACATTTACTTTTCATGACTAATATTTCTTTCAAATGATGAATCAGTCAACCTTTGAATAGTTAACACGCCGTTAACTACTTATTGGTAGCTTGACATGATTCATATAGCACATAATTCTTATAATACTACATGGGACAATTATTAATTAGTTTTTATATAATACAAAGAACGTACTTTACCGTTAAGTCTTTAGAAAAAAAAGAATGACAAAGGATTTTCAAGCTAAACATCCCTCTTAAAATACAGTTAAACTAATATTAAACAGAGAGACTGTTTTGTATTCCGATATCATGCATTAAGCGAGAGTTCCATATATAACAATAGATTACGGTAATGTGTCGTTCCTTCCTTCCACAGGAATAAAACCGCTAGCGCAGCCACACGCCGATTTAATACGACGAAAACAAATGCATTATTAATAAAGAAAAGTTTAATATTACTAAGTATTTACGTTTTATTTCCATTCGTTTTCCACTGTATTATTTTGTGTATATTGTTTCTACGAGTATTAGCTTTTTTAGCATTCTTTTTCCCGCTCAATCTCTGGATGCTGTATTAATTGAATAAAAAGTGAGATTTATGTTAAATCTTGTTATATTGTCCAATGTTTCCTTATTGAGATTTCCTGTACGTAGGTACAATAAAATTTAATGACACATACTGCTACCGGAAAACGTATTTAATTTAATATGAATTGATTAGTATTTTCATTCATGTTTATGAAACCTTTACGTCTACAGTGGTTTAGGTTTTGTGAAATATACAAATGAATGTTAATTTCATGTTTTATATATTATTGCAAATCTCCTCTTTTATTAACACGAAATATAAAAACGCCATTACCTACTTCATCTATACATACAATAAAATTTTAATTGAGGCGAATCTGTATATTAAATATTTTTTGGAAAATCTTATTGAAATGTCATTATTATCGATAGAGGCCGATTCTATAATTTTTAGATTTTTTTTTTGTCTGTCTGTCTGGAAACGCATATGATGAAATTTGATATGATAATAACTGGTTATCCGGCTCAACATATAGGGTACTTTTTACTGTACTTTAATATCTCATCTTTGAGAAATCTATACTAAAAACGTTAAATATAATTATCTTTCTAAACTTGACTCCAACGGTATATCAGTATTAATGATAAACATGAACTGAGGTCGAAACGATGAACGAAACCAACGTCCGAAACGAACACAACAATATGCACAATGCGGCTAACATCCTCGCGGCACGCACAGGAAGCTAGCTAGCTACCTGGCATTGTTCGACAGACACATACATGTACATAAATAATACATTTTTTGTCAGTTTTACTTCATTTTACTGTACGCTCCATACCGTGTCGGTCATTATCACACTAATTCCATTTCAATTTCATAATGATAGTAGATACTACACTTAGTTTACAAACAAGAAGTGGAATGTACAAAAAAGAGAAGCTTTAACAAAATTACTATTCTGTTGTTTTGTCAAACTTATTTACGAAATCCATGATATATTTAAAATTTGTTTGACAAATATTGAAATGTCCAATGTATTATAATTATCAGCCTGCTATTTTTTTAAAAGGATAATAAAACAACTTTCTGAAATATTATGTCTCGTCTGAAATATTATGTATACAGATAAATAAAATGGAATTGTCTGTTTGTAATGTTGAAATAAAAGCTTTTTACTAAATACATATGAAATTATATACGGTACCTACTTATAAGAAAAACACAATTTTTAAAATTGTTGTCTGTTTGTCTGTTTTTTCAGTCTAATCTTTGAAACGGCTGGATTGATTTTGATGGGACTTTTACTGGCAGATAGCTGATGTTATAAGGAGAAACTTAGGCTACTTTTATTTTAGAAAAAAGAATTAAGGTTTCGATTAAAAAAAAATCGTTCCTAGGGAACGCACAAGAGCGAAGCGAGGGTAAGTCGCTAGTTAATAAAATAATATTATATGATATTATAAACTGTTTTATTGTGTGTTAAATGAATAATTAAAATGCACACTTCAATATGCACTTATTTTCCAACCATTACATAAAAAAGAGAGCGCATTGTTGTGTGGACATAATATGGACTTTCAACTTTGTGTAAGTTGCCCCTCATATATTTTAGACAAAGGGTCGCCAATTTCAATAGTTGATGTTCCAAATTAACCTTTATCCGGTAACGGTAAACTCCCGGTGAATCAGCAACACCACATTACAATGGAAGGCTGACTATAGCAACAATTTTCCGCTCTATGGATCTGCGCGCATATTTTTTCTGTCTATTTTAATGTATATTACCAGCTAGTAATACAAATTTAAATATATGTTATAATAGATAAAAATAATTCATTTTTTAGATAAAGAAGTCTTTTACCAGTAGAAACTATTTGAAATATTCATATTCAAGGGAACTACATAGATAAATAAAATTGAAGCGTCTGTTTGTAATATCAAAATAACTTTTTACTAATGCATATGAAATTATGAACGGTACTTAAAAAAAAACTTTTTTTTTATTTTGTCTGCCTGTTTGTTCCGGCTAATCTACGAAACGGCTGGACTGCTTTTGACCGGACTTTCACTGGAAGATAGCTGATGTTATAAGGAGTAACTTAGGCTACTTTTATTTTATAAAATATATTAGGGTTCCGCTCAAAAAAATTAAACCGTACCTGAGCGAAGCGATTGTAAGTCGCTAGTATGAAATAAAAAAATAAATAAATAAAAATAGTTTTTATTTCTTAATCATTTTTTAACATTTTTTGTGTTCGAGTCTTCCCAGTAAGTAATCCGGAGGATACTTATAAATATGGCCTAATGATTGGTTTAAGAAATGATATGAACGACATAAGTGGTCATATTGCAGACGGCATCGTGTGACCGACGGACGGGTATAATTTGCATGGGCAATAAATAACAGAGATAGCAGTAGCATCTCGGCCGGTTCAGGCGCACTATCATATAACTCATAGTCTATGTCGCTATCAGAGGTTGTCGCCCTGTCTTGGCACCGATTACACCAATCGCTCTGAATACATATCCAGTTACCTTCACTTCGCAAACACCACTGCCTTTATAAATAAATAAATCTGTAGATACTATCTTATAATACTTTAACGTGAATCTTTAACGTTAATAATTGTCATATTACAAGCCTCAAGCAAAGCAAATTAAAAGCTTTATGAGTTTTTTTACAAAAAATACTATACAGTAATGGTTTCAAAGTTTTAAGTACGTACTATCAGAAACGCAGAACCGGTTAATATGAAAATTTCACAGTCGGATGACTAGCAAAAGTTGTTAAGTCCATGCAAGTGAAACTGCGGTCGAGTAAAACTTCACTTTTATTTGCGCAATTATCCTCATGGTTACAGTCTAACATGATTGCAGAAAGACGAACTTTTAACTTATTTCTAAGATTAAAATAAATTTCCTTTCGCATCGAATGTATTCTCGACTTCTTTGATCACTTGTTAACGAAAGTTTGAAAAATGAATAGCAAACAAGAGACACAATAAATAAAAGCTATCTCGCTTCACATTCTCACAAGAATGATCACAATCAAATTGTTCACGTAACAATAGAATGATAGCGTGAAAAGGAAACGGAATCCTTCCTTGTTATATCAAAAGCTCTATTCAACGAGTGTATTATGAAAATACGATAGATGAGAACAAGTGGACCGACCGTTGGTCATCATTTGGTAAACATGCAATATGAACTCATGCTCTTCGAATTACTTAGCCGGTAGCAAGTTTTGATACATGTATTCGTTACAAATACAAGCATACCATTGTCTACACGATGCTACAACCACGACGTAAACGGGTTCCATTTATAGATACCAGCTTGTTGTTTTTTGGCCGTTGCCTATAGGCATTGAACGCCATTTAAGAAGAATATGAATATCAAATCCTAATACGTTTAAAATGAGATATTTAATTAACCGCAAACGGCCAAAGTGGGTATTGTAAATGGAAATTAATTATTAGTTCAGTATTGTAGAAAAAGGTTCTAATAACAATCGTTGAAGCTTTTAATTGCAAATCACTGAGCTAAAAACACTTAGAAATAGAATAATTTAAACGGAGGGAAGTGTTATACGACGTGAAATCATCACAAGGAGCGGCCTTCGGGCCTGCGCCCACTGCAGGCCTCGGAAAACCTGCCCCGGACTGCTAATTTTATTTTGCACACAAACAAGTTTTAATGCAAAGCAAGGAACCGATTTGCCTGATACTACCACGCAAAATATTCTCGCCGTTAAAACCTTACAAAAATACTTCAGGATAACTGTAATGTGAACAAAGGATACATTGCCGGATAAACTTTAAATATATTTGATTAAATGGGTTATTGTTTAAACGTGTCAAAAGCTCGTGGTGGGTGTCGGGTGTTAATGACCGTACATCTACACGTGGTGTGTCGGATCCCTCATAAACAACTAAAGTTAATACCTACCACTTTTAAGATATAGTTAATAAAAGTTCTGAAGATTGTTTTTTATATCGGAAGTTCTTGTAATATTATAACAGTCCAATGAGAGAAAGGCCGGTATATACGTACATATTATCACTCTTTATGTGAATTGTGAAACTAACACTAATTTAGTTCACTTTATTAGCGTTAATAACTCGGCTTTAAATAAACCTTAAATAATGTAAACGATTATAAAAAAGTCAACAATTATATAAAATATTTTCTTTCCTGTTTTATTAATATTCGATACGATACTAACATTCGACTCGCTATTAATGTTCGCATCGATAAATCGATCGAAATCGGCAAGCAATATAATTTAGCCAGCTAATTCAATGAAAGAATTTTTTCTCGAACTTTGAAGTAGGGGTAAAATAACTTATTAGTTATTTTACCCCTACTTCAAAAAATCTATAAGACAGTACTAAAGTTGTCGTATGTTACAATACAAACACTGCATACGACTTTTTTATGGCAACATAGAACGATTGAATTGTATTTTAATCATAGCAGTGCGAGTGTTTTGAACGAGAATACTATTAACACCAAGACACGTATCGATTACTAAATAGTTGTCAGAATTTAAATAATAATAATTGGTATCATTTTGGTATGCATTCGTATCACTGAGCGTGGTGTTTGGTATGTTTTGTCATCAATGAATTAGTACCGCTAATGGTGCGATACGTCGATATCGGCGGCAGACAATGTCGGCTCACGTTTGGTTGGCGCGGATATAGCACCACTTTGAATTATAATGCGCATTGTTCTTCGCTCCGCTTTGGGTGCAATGCACTATACGAGTACGTCACAATAGTTTCATGTCATAGAAATCGGCTTCTGCCCGGTCCATCGGCAAGGTTATATCCGAAATTAATTATTTATTCAACACTGATCAAATTAATTATTAATATTAATTGCAATCTCTACAAGAAAAAAAGGTTTTTGTTCAGAACAAAGACAAGAAATTGTTTACCTCTGGTTCTTGACCGACTTCGTGAAAGGAGTCAGGGACACGTGTAGTGTGTACGTTCCCCGACTCCTTTCTGAGATTGAGATACTAAAGTGTAGGTATGTTTTTTGGTTTTATATTTGAATGTCTTCGCCAAGAACCAGTAAACTCATGTTTATGATTCTTTATGTAATGAATTAGTTGTATTCAAAATTATACTGCTGTCATAATAAAAAAGGCCCTAACTAAGAATTTGGTCAAAAATGATTTAAATGAAGATTCGGAATCAGCAAAAAAAGCAACTTGATAGTCTTACTCATAAAGCTCCAAGTCTTATGAATCCGGAGACACCGTAAGATATCGTAACTACGTATAAACTACTAATAAGTACAGCGCTGGATTTTCACTAGGGGCACTCGGGGCTAATGCCCAGGGCGGCAAAATTCAGAGGGTGAGTAAAAAAATTTCTTCGTGTTATCGAAAATATATTTTTCATTTTTGAAAAGCATAATAATTAAAAAAAAATAACTAGTACATTTTTCGAAAAGACGAAACCATTTATCAATTATTCCTTGCATTTAAAAAATAATAATTAAAAAATTAAACTTTTAACATTTTATTCAAAATTGCGATAATAAGGCGGCATTTCTTACTATACCCACTTAAATCCAGCACTGAATATGTAATAACTAATAAGACAAAACTTCAAATATCTCGAAATGAACTTAGACGAAGTTGCGGCCCTCTTTTTTGTGACAGCAGTATATAAAAAAAATCTATTGAAAATGGTCACATATGAATATCAAAATAAAAACTTGCAACCTTGGATGAAAATAATTACTTTTAAAGTCATTTATAAAGAATAATCGCATTATGTTCCGGTAAAATTACCATTATATAATGTAGTTTAAAAATGTAACATAAACAAACAGGTTTACAAAATAACCTTCCAAACAAAAATATTTACTAAAAGGTGTATTACAAGAGATTTCACACCGCCGCGCCATCCCGAGTTTCTTTCAGACAGTTCAATGACTTGTATAATTAAGCAAACAATTTTAAGATTCGATTACGGCCATATGTTAAATACTATATAACTCGTCGAAGTATATACAGTGTTCTCTACGAAAGTAGGCCAAGTTGGTACAATAATGGTCGGAGGCAGCGCGAGGGCGAGTGTTCATTGCATTGTGTACTGACCGCGTTGACGGAATACGAATAACATGTAGTACGGAGTAGAAAGTTATTGATTATATTTATATTATATTATGATTTATGCCACTCACTACTGTAAATAAATAGGCCTTTCACTGTAAAATCTAAAATTATTCTTATTTGAACTTAAATTCATCTACACAGATAAATAAATTTGTAGTGTCTGTTTGTAATGTCAAAATAACAGCTTTTTACTACATACATATGAAAGTATATACGGTACTTAAAAAAACGATATTAATTTTTTTTGTCTGTCTATTTGTTCCGACTAATCTCCGAAACGGCTGGACCGATTTTGACACAGACTTTCACTGGCTGGATAGCTGAGGTTATAAGGAGTAACTTAACCTACTTTTATTTTAGAAAAAGAATTAGGGTTCCGGTCGAAAAAATCAAAACGTACCTAGGGACGCAACCGAGCGAAGCGAGGGTAAGACGCTAGTATAACATAAATTGCAAAATCTTTAAATTATTGTCGATCATAATCTTTCCTATTGAGTTTAGATGACTTTGCTATATTGCTTTATTGTTATAGTATATTGTTTTTACTCACCTCTTCAGGTACTTTTTCAGGTTCTCCGTTCGTTTTGGGTTCATCGTCTTTATTTTTCTTCTCCTGTTTCGGTTTATCTTTTCTACTGAAACTGATCGATCTGAGCGACCATTTCTTCTTGACCTGTACATTAGCAGAAACATTAAAAAACCATTCACCATATGACGCCAAGCTAAGTTAATGAGCTTTTTGTTAGCATTGTCAGATAAACGCTAAAACGTTTGACGTCTCTACGAGGGTAATCTTTGAAAAACGATTTACAACAAGTCGATGATGCCAAGATTTTAAGATACAGTTACTCCGTTCGATGTTTTAGAAAAGTAACTGTAAATTCATTATTAGAAATATCAAATAAATAATTATTGTAGCTTCTGGATATTCATATAATTGCATTAATCACAGAACGGTTTTCTGTTATTATGTTGTCGAAATGATGAAGAATGTTCTGTTATTAAAAAACTAAGAATATTTATTATAGGTTTTTAAATTATAATAAAATTTCTGTATTCTCAAGACCACAATAACCATTCCATCTTTGACTCTCTTATAAACATACATGTATACGTATTTGTTTTACATTTGTAATTTGTTATTGTTAATGTTTTTTACGGTGACCTCTAATCGACATTAGATAGACCCGGAACTAGTGTGAGTATAAGTGCGATTAAAACAATGTTTTACCCATAACAATAAAATATAATATCACTCAATACGTAAAAAAATCAAAGATAATAACTGTCAGTTTTTAGAATTTTTAAGTCGAATGACACACAATCGTCGGTAATATATTTTATAATCCACCAAGTAGCCGTTAAAACAACAAAGAAGCAGAACGCCTATGGCTATGATATAAAGTTAAACTGTTTAATTGCCAATTCCACTAAAGTTGATTAATTGGTTAAAGAATTCACAGAGGAATGCTTCAATTAGTGTTATAAAACATGAAGCTGTAATTAGAAACAACCAAATTGCTTACTTAAATATTATAAAAAATAAACGGTTCTCGCTTCTCGAATACCAGTAATTTTGATTATTTTCAGGGTTTCAATTCGCAGTGTAACCTGGTGAGAATTACATCGTTTATATGCAGGTGCTACATTATAATTTTACCAATTGGTGTCATGGAATGGTATTAATGGTATCAGAAAAAAACAATTTTTTGAATAAATTCTTAATTTTATTACACGCAAATTCGCTAAAATAGAGGCCACGCTAGGCTCCGCGCAAGCTTTATTGAAATATATAATTTAAAAAAAACATTCTCTCAACTCTATTCAACTTGTATTGTATATACACGTGGTATTTAATTATTTTAATTATATCAATGTTATTAAGGTGCTTTATTTATAAAACATATGAAAGTTAAATTTATTTACTGCCTAATTATTTTTTTTTAATATCTGTAGGCCTCGTCCTTTTTTTCAATTTCATATTGTAACTAGCAAAATATAATGTTTATGTAATACGGTGGAATCTTAATGTAAATGAATATTATTGACTTTTATAACGGTATTAAAGTATATTACCGTACAAAACTTCCAGATATTGTAACTTTTTTACCTTTTCTTTCTTGGGTTTCTTGCTATCCTCGGGCGAAGGAGTAGACTCGCCATTTTCTACCTTTTGCTCACTATCTCCGTTTGTTACAGGGGCTGCTTCTTTCTCTTTTTCTTCATCTTGTTCCTTGCCTTCCTTTTCTGTAGTAACGTCCTTTTCATTTTCTGGTGTACCGCTATCGAGCTGTTTCTCTTTATCCTATATATAGTAACAACTTAATGATATACCCTAATATTCTTCAAAAAATGTATTTTTTTCACAGCAGTACATATGGGAACTAAGTAAAATATTTTTTAAATAATAATTAATTAAATAAAAATAAAAGACCTTTTATCATTGTCATTTTTAGAATTCAAATAAGTAATAAAGATCAATAACTTCGACATGCGAGTACGAGGGTTGTTATGCGGGTCGATTGTTATAGCTTATTATAACATCAATTGTAATTTTTAATCACCCACATGGTCTAAATATATTAGTTTTAATGTTAATAGATTGGAATTAAGATATGATTTAGAGTTTTTTTTACTCTATTTTAAATAACCTTTTTTATATGTATATAATATTTATGAAATGAAAAAATCGTGTTTAACAAATACCTCACATTTGTTTACCATAATTTTTGAATTTTAAAAGAAAAACTTTTGTTGCTATTTCGTAATGAGTCCAATCGGAATCCGTTTGGGAACAAACCAATTAAAACCTGAAGTTTTATGGTTTTAAAACGTTAGGTGATAAAATAATAAGGAATAGAAATTAGTATAATACCCCCGAAATATAAAAACGAATGGATAAAACCAAAGCCTCATTTTAATTAATTATCTCCAAAATCGATCAAAAATTAATAAAATATCGATGAATTCGAAAAAATAATAACATAAATAGATTATCTGGGAAAAAATACAATACAGTAATGTACTTCACATGACTTCCATTTTTTTTGCACGATTCGTCAAATTGAAAAGTTGGAATGTTTATTATGGCGCGCCATTGTATAAATAATAAGCGTCAAATTAAAAACTTCAGAATACCTTTTTCACTTTTTTTTTCCGAAAAATATATTGGTGTAATCAGTTCATTAAAAATTTGGTCAATTAAGTACACTTTTTCAATTATAATTTAAAAAAATATAGTTTACAAAGTAAAAGTTATCGATTTCTCCAATTTTTTCAATTTTTAAGGATGTTTTAACGAGACGACCATACAATGTTTATGTTTCTTCAAAAAGTAGAGTTCAAGACAAAAAAAATTAGCCCTATATGAAAATTGAACAACATTTTTTTAAATGTAAACATCGACTTAAAGTTGGGGGTGATTTTCAGCTCCCCGAGACCATAAAACATAATTATTTCGGAAATTTATTGAAATTATTATATGTAGGTATGTATTTCGAAGATACATTCCCCTAGTTTTATGAAAATTGAAAATCAAACGATTATTGTAGAAATTAAAAATAAAAAACCAAGAAAAAATTAAAAACCGAGTTTTTTGCAAATATCTGTAAAACTTTGAGGTTATTGTAAAAAGTGTCATCTACAAAAGTTGATGGTTTAGTAAAAATCTGTGATCCGGAAATTGAAAAAAGCTATTTTTCAACGCTTTGCCCCATGCCCCAACGTCCCATTTCTCGGGGGTAGCTGGGCATCGGGGGCATTTTTATTTTATTCCTTATATACTCGTACCTGCTAACGTTTTAACACCACAAACCTTCAGGTTTCAATTATTTTTCTGCTCTTAAAAATGAAAGGATTCCGATCGGTCTCAGAGACAACTAAAATCAATCTTGAATAACTACAATAATATTATAATTATAAATATTTAACTGAATTTTGAAATACGTACAAAATATTGAGTATTATTATCTAAGTAAGTAATCGGTAGTTTTTTAAGGTAAGTAAAACAAATAAAAGGATGTTATACACATTCACTTCACTTGTATTGTTGTTGTAAGGTCACATTAAACGAAAAAACCTTTTACTTACAATGTTAAGGGTTTAAAGTTCATATTTCAAAACTAAAAAAAATAATCTGTATACAACTATGTATGTATATTGTATATAAATTATTATGTATTATACAGGTATTGTTACATCTTTTATAAAACCAATTGGCAGTTAAAATAAATGAATTATTTGAAGAAACATTCTACAAACAGCATTTCTATGTGAAACAACTATGTCACCTAATAAGGATTAATTAAATCTAAGCATCATTACAGATAACTTACCGAAGATTCGTGTATGTGTGCATCGCCGTTAAGCTGCGGCTTGAGCGCATCGGCGTCGGCGAGCTGCTCGACGCGGCCCTCCCCGCCCGCGCCCGCCGCCGCCACCTCGCCCGCGCCCTCAGCCTCCTTACCACTTATGTCCACCGAGCGTTTGCTCTGCTTAGCACCCATAATTACTTGATAGCCTGATTACAATCATATCAAATCATTTTAAAAATAAACAAATCAAAAGAGGCGCGAACAAAACGTTTGTGGTGCCTGCTATATAGGGTTGCCAACCGTACTATAATATATAATATTGTACTATATTTTCTACACCGAAATCTATCAAACAAATCCTTCATTTTAAAAAAACGACTTTTGACTTTAAAAAAAAGCGTTTGACCAATGCCATAACATGAATCCGAATTTATCTGTCACTAGCATTGCCCGCGGCTCCGCCCGCGTTCAAATGACTAAAAACCAAATTCTTAGGTTTTACATATTAGTATACTCTTACAATGCAGTTTTTGTATTTTTTCTCAGAAATGAGATATTTTCCCGCGGTAAAAAGTGTCCTATATGTTGACCCGGATAACCAGCTATCACCATACCAAATTTCATCAAAATCCCTCCAGTGACTTATGTGTGATGCGGTAACAGACAGAAAGACAAAAAATCTAAAAACTATAGATTCGGCCTCTGTATCGATAATAATGTTTATTTCAATAAGATTTTCCAAAAAATATTTAATGTACTGATTTCGGCCTAGTTACAATTTTATTATATGTATAGATGGATAAATGCACTCCGAACTTGTTAATAATGTCAACAATTTCATTCCTGCCATCTATTCCTGTCTAGGTATGAAATTATCAAGATAAATATATCTTTTGATCATTATCAAGATAATTATCAGATAATTATCCGGTAATTGTCAAACAGATATAAACTTAGCAATCTTTGTGTAGGTATTGGTATTTGACTACTTGCCAGTAATAATTTACGTTAGAATAAATTATACAATTTTAACAATCAAGGTAATCTTTTATTATTATTATTTTTAATTATTTTGGCATATACTCGTACAAACTTGGAATTAAAAACAGAATAAATTTAACCAACTATATAGGCACTATATAATTAAATTAAATGTCTCTGCCCACTACACCGTCTCATGCCATGACAGTGCTAGGACCGTATCAGGCAAGAAAAATATTCTTTGTATTGAAAAATATGAGACTATGCCCACTAGACCGTTCCATCACCGACCAAGACCTTTCCGTCACCGACCAACACCGTCGCGTGCCGTGCATGGAAAGTTAATAATAATTGTCGGCAAGAATATTTTGCCGGTGCCGATACGCTCCGTGCTTGACATGCGACGTTGCCGAACCGGGTGCGCGCGTACGGCGAAACGGTGAGCACACGGGTTATAACTTATGATGGCCGTTATAAACTTGATGTCGCTCGACTTCTAGTGATAATATTTTCTTTTAAATTATTTTTTTTAAAAACAGCGTGAACCTAGTAACGTCGTGATCGACTGATGTTCCTCTTTCTTCCATGTCTAAAACAATAGCTATCATTGTTAATTCTCTGTCGGACAAGTTTCTAATAGCCATCGTATGCACACACAGGTACTACTACGACTGAGAAAAGTTGAACTATGTATACGGATATGACACGCGAATGATACGCGGTTGATACGCGAATGATACGTTCTAGTGGGCGACACGGACTACTATTAGTCCGAAGAGTTACAAATTAAATATTTTCAATTATATTTGTCAAAGATAATTATCAACCCATATTTATCATGATAATTATCGTTTCGAACCCTGATTCCTGTTACTTCGGCATTCACAGAAAGGATATTTTCGGTTATGAATTCGAAATGACGAGAAGAAAGAAACAGAAGTGCTGTGTCATTAATAAAAAACGAGCTTTTAAAAATTACATGTAAAAATATAATGTACATGTGAAATAAAGCATATTATGACACTTTTATTTTAGACAAAAAATTGTTAAGAAACGCAAAAAATGCAAAAAAAAATAGTTTTTATAAAAATAAATAAGTAACAAATATATCTTTGTTTATTTTTTATTTTATTTTTTGTTCCATAAATTACTATATTTTTTTGAAGTGTACTATATTTTTATAGCTTATTTTGAAAAATACTATATTTCGCCGAAAAATTTTTGGCAACCCTACTGCTATACCTACTCATGAGAAAAAAATCATTAAGCTTCCACGCTACTTTATGAAATATTTAAGTTTTGAGACTTTAAACACGTGTCAAACTCAAGCTATAAAGTTCAATTTTAATAGGTAATCAAATATTAATATAATTGTTACACAACACACGTTAAAAACGCTAAGAAATTATTTTTCAAATATTTTATATTTTAATCAAAAATAAGTGTGGCCCATTAAAATAAATAAACAAAAAACAATTTTCTAGGTTAAGTGATTTTCTCAATACAACAATAGAAACAAATTACTAAATTAAGGCAAAGTACTATATTAAATTAAAAGAATCTAATACAGCACAAAAATAGAATTATGCGAAATTCTTCTAGATAAAGGGCTAAAAAAAATCATTTTTTTATAAAATGTATTATTAGCCGAGGGTCAGAAAAGCCATTTTAAGAACCGGATGTGAAACCTTAAAAATGATCAGCGCCCCAAATTAAGGAAATTGCGTTTTAGAGTTATTTATAGGTGTCAGTATTGTATAAGAGTTATGTAGACTTTTATTTTAACATTCAAAGAAAACAATTAGCCAATGACGCCAAATTTAGCTTCGCCAACATCAATAGGTCAGGGGTGTTGTGAACAAACTTAAAATAAATGTTAACGACCGAAATAGTATCAAGCATGCATTGGGTCGCACTTGTCTGTACTTTCAGGATCTATAACTATGCACTACATTACAATACAATACAGATGTACAATATATGCGTATTTATAAACTGTTTAATTAGCTTTCTTGATAAAATAAAAAATAATAGACAGTTGAAAATAATTAAAAACAGTGAAATAAAATTAAGCAGTCCATTGAAATGTTACATTTTTTTGGGATTAGCGTGCATTTGTCAGAGGACGCAATTTTATTTTTTAGATATCAAGGATGGGTTAGTGTAAAGATAAATCCAAGTTTGTGGGGTTGCAGCCCTTTTCCCACGGCCGCCATCTTGAAAAAAGGGGTACAAATGGTTTTTATGGTTTATCTGACAAACTATAGGTTTATTAAGTCTCACAAAAAATTGTTATACCATTTATGGTTGCAAATAAAATTCTCTACAACTTTGGCCAAGTAAGTTTTAGTCCGAGAACCAAAAATAACAAAGTTATAAGCGAATATCGATGAAAATTTTTTTATAATACATTTTTATCTGATCATTTAAAAAAAAAATATATCAGACCATTTTTATAGAAGCGCTCGTAAGGAAAATTTTCATTATAAGCTTTTTAAATTTTATTCATTAAGGTTTTACCAAACTGAAAAACGATTATAATATTCTTCAGTATTCATAACTATTACATAAATATTAATGATTCATTTTTCATCTTCTTTTCATTATTTTTATAATAATCTTTTTAATTATTGATAATACAATATTGTTACTAATTAATTATTGACTCTTTTCCCCACCACCTACGAGGTAGACTCTGGAGGCGCGTTTTTTTTACATGATATAATTACTCTGTCCTCGGTCTTTTTGATGGACCAAGCTGCGGCTCAGGAACTGGTTGACCTTCTATATCAAATACTTGAGGGAAAACCGCCGAAGGAAATGAAGCAGGTCGAGTTGCTGTAATGATGGAATGACCAATCGATGCGCACTTTCTTTGCGCTGCATTTAGTGACTTGCGTTTTGATTGGCATAAATTCCTTTTAATAAATTATAAAACTGATAAAGTTCCGAGAATTAGAGTGTTAACGTCCTTCAGAAAATCATCAGATATGTATTAAATATATAGAAATAAATAACTGTGTACTATACTGTTCACCTAAAATTTTACCGCTCAACCCCCGCAAAACTTGGGGAATATTGAGTAGTAATAAGTAATAACATTTGATGCGTTTATCAACGGGACTACCCTTAAAAAAATTGCTAGATTAGATTGCTAGATAGAGGTAAAAAACTCAGTATTCTGTTTTTTTTATGGCAACTCAGAACTTATTTTTAACAATTATTATAAGTAAAATAATCATCAAACCTTGTGTTAATAGTTATGTTAGTAATCAGTACATTTAAATGTTATAAATAGCCACGGATTCTTATCTCGGAATAAATATTCGGTGTGGACAAGAGTATCGGCAGTCACGACTGGCGCTGTCAATAAGCAACGGAAGTTAGGGAACATTCTATGACTCTACTAAGATACATATATTTTTAAAGCATCGCTAATTTCTTTAAATGTGATTACATTTATTTTCATCGTAATATTTCAATCTATACCAATATTATAAAGAGACAGAGTTTGTTTGAACGCGCTTATCTCAGGAAATACTAACCCGATTTGAATAATTATTATTTGTATTAGATAGCGTGTTTATTGAGGAAGGCTATAGGCTATATATCATCATCTCAGAAAAATGTATGTATTCCGCTTGGGATAGATTTGTTTTTGTCTAGGGACGAACCCGAAGCGAAGCGAGGGTGAATCGCTAGTATTTAATATAAGCTATAAGTACTATGTATAATATAGTGTCCCCCCCAACGTGCGTTCACCTTGTCGTGGTGGGGGGGCTCAGTAGTGCCCGGTAATCCAACCGGGCGCGAAGCTAAGAAACGCACAGGGAGGTTGCCCACTTCGTTGGGCGGTGGGAGGTGGCCCTCTTCGGGGGGCGGTGTACCTTGCGGGTTGCTCCTGGTACTTCTCTGATAGCAGAGTGGACCTTGGAGCAACCCCATGGTTGTGGTGGTCTGCTTTGGCAGACCTGCCGTCGGGGCGTCGTAGTTGAATGCGTAAGCGATCCTGCGATGCCCCATTAAGACGGGGGAAGGTTTTGTTGGGTTTTAGTGGGTAGTACTGGCTTTGCCGGTGAGTCCCACACCTCGTGCGTAAATGCATTTCCCAACGTTAAAAAAAAAATGTATAATATAGTGTACTAGCATTGCCCGCGGCTCCGCCCGCGTTCAGATGACCAAAAACTAAGTTCTTAGGTTTCACATATTAGTATACTCTTACATT